ACGGATTTCGTATAGAAGCCAAAAAGTTACCTTGCGTTCCTAAGGGTGGCTGCAACGACGCCGACGTCCAGTAATCCTGCTGTTAAAACTTCACAATTGGTTTTTATGCATAAAAATCAGCTGTTATATTTTAACAGCAGGATTACGGGACGTCGTTGCAGCCACCCTAAGTAGTTTAAAATTCGCTTCCAATTTAGAATAATCATAATTACTATATAAATATACAGGGTCGCTCTTATATGTATTGAAACTGTCGATTATTAGATAAAATAGAGGAGGCACCGCAAAAAGTTAAATACAAAAGTTATAAGATTTTTAAATATCTATTACTGAGTAATGAATTTAAGTATACAGGGTCGGTTATAAAGTCGTGGCACATCAAAGTTTAATTTTTTAAAATAGAACCCCCTGTATATTATTGCATATTTCAATTCTTCCTTCAAATTCTAAGCAAAAACCGAAATACACACAATGTACCTCAAACCAACCGTTTCCCAGTTATTGACTTTTGAACATATCACTTAAACAATTTGATTTAATTAATTTCTATATGTTCAGTTTCATTTAACGATGCCATTCTACCGAAACTGTATTTAACTTTTTGCAGTACCTCCTGTATTTTTTCTAATAATTCACCGTTTCCATACATAAAAAACGACCCTGTATAAACTCTCTAAATACTTTTAGAGCCCCTACAGGCGCTCAGTTACTTAACACAGGCGGACTGTTTACGCAGTTTAACCTGTACTTCAGCTTGATGTACAGATGCAGTTTTATAGTACAGTTTTAGCTACAATCAAAGAATATTTTAAATTATAATATTCGTTGCTGCAATGAACTTAGTAATACGAGTGTCTCATTCGCAGGGGCGCATATACGGGAGGGGTAATGGGGGTAATTACCGCTCCCAGGAAGACATTTATAAATGAGAAAATCTGGTATAAATTAAAATTGTCACAGAATAAATTAATAATATCAATCAAAACAGAAATCCAGAACAATCTAGGTTTATTTCTTTCGATAGTCACAATACCTTTAAGCGAAAATTTAATTTAAATTTATTACTTTATTTAAATATTGCCACTACCTCTCCCAGGCTCACTTTCTGGATGCGCCACTGCTCATTCGTGTTCAAGTAGGTATTTCAGCACATTTTTTTGAAGTGAAAATGGCCACCCAAGTTCTGTCTTGCATTTTGCACGCTTGTGTAATAAAGAAAAAGCAGATAAACAACGTCTATAGTTAATAGAAGCAAAATGGATCAAAGATTGGCTACTTAAAGGAAATAATTATTCCCATGTCAATTTGCTTGCTGATTTAAAAGATGAAAAACAGGATTGTTTTAACTGCCTAAGAATGGACGAAGGGACTTACTTAGAACTATTGAAATTAATTAAATTGAAAAACTACCACAGTATAATGCGCATCATGCATGTACCAAAGAACTTTTAAGAGTTTTTGAGCGGCATATTTGCGGTGGATGAGATAAGCATCACTCAAAATTGCTAAATTGATCAGTTTTGAAACCTTTCAAATGGGTCGAAAAAATACTACCCCTAAAAATATTTGCATTTGTTTAAGACTTACCCTGATGTATAAACATTTCCTATCTAAAATGGAATTAATAAAACCGCGTAAAATAAGTCGCTGCGCTGCACGCTGGTGTCAAAAATGTGAGAAGCAAAACCGCGTGTATATACATGCATAAAACGAAGAACGTGTGTGTATATACCGCATAAAACGAAGCACTCCTGTAAAGGGTGTTTCAAAAAACATGTGCACTTAAAAATAAGATTTATTTTTCAAATCAACATAGTTCCGATTCTGCTTTGTTTCGTAGCTACAGGGTGCTAACGTCTTAATATTTTTTCGATTTATTATAATTTTCTTCCAAGTACTTTTAGCGTTTCGAATGAAATTTTGAGGGTAAAAATTACTATAAATGCGATATATTTTAAGGCTAAAAAAGTGTCGCCATATTCACCACGAACGTGCATATCTATCATATGCACGTGCATATCAAACGTACATATATATTACTGGAATATTTTTCTAAAAAAGCATGTACGCCACTGACTTTTTTTCTTGTTAGCAAAATAGTGTAAACAATTTAATGCCGATTAAAAGTTGTCTCTTGATATATCTGGATGCCGCTGTGGCCCGGCACCCAGAATAATTTAATTCTGTTCCTTCGTTCAGAGCTCCCAGTTCACCCAGGCATTCCCAGACTAGTCTCGACGATACCTTTGGGTTCATAAGCGCCCCAAGTGCCGCCTGACTGTCTGAGCTTACCTTATTGATGAGCTTACCTGAATAAGCTCTTCTATTGTTTTCTCCCGCACATTGTAGAATGGCGAAGATTTCTGTCTGGAATACGATTGAGTGTTTACCCAAGGAAAAGGATAAGCTTTCCCCAAATACTCCAGCTCTTGTTCCTTCACCAGTCTTTGACCCGTGTGTATACCAGGTTAGTTCATCATGAAGGAATGTTATATTACACATTCCTCGATCCATTTTGTTCACTTCGAATGGTTTGTGGTAGTGATAAAGAGGGGTCATTTGGTCCGATCTCATTTGGAGTAGAGATCCTCCGATAGAATCTCCCATCTTTAAGTGTCCTGTTTCTGTCCTATTTCCCAGCGACAAGACACCTTGTTGTCGAGTCCCATTCTTGCCTCCTCCTGGATCACTATATGAAGAGGCGGAAGAGGCGGAAGCGCCTCCATTGATGCAGTGGGCGTTGATTTCATCGCCCCTGTTATGCTCAGACAAGCAAGTCCTTGCACCTTACTAAGGCTGAGCATTGTTGTTTGTTGCATTACCTTAGGCCACCATACCAAGGATGCATATGTTACTGAAGGCCTCACCACTCCAGTGTACAGCCAGTGCACCATCTGTGGTCTGAAGCCCCAGATTTTTCCATGAAGTCGTCTGACTACCGCTAGTGTAGTCCCGCCCTCCTTGTGACATTTTCCAAATGTCGGTTCCAGGTCAGTTTGGTATCCAGCATGATTCCTAGATACTTGACCTCCCCCGAGAGAGGAATCTCATCACCGCAGAGTCTTAGAGGTCCTAGTCCCTCCAAAATTCTTCGTTTGGTGAAGGGGATTATTACGGTCTTTGTAGGACTAATATTTAGTCCCTCCCGTGTCACCCATGATTCCACAATCTTCAGGGCCCTTTGCATTCGCTCCCTTACTGTTGTGTTAAACTTACATCTGACTAACATGACCAAATCGTCTGCATATCCCAGGGTGTTGAAACCAGCCCTGTTGAGACTATCAAGCAGTCCGTCCATAACGAGATTCCACAGCAGCGGGGAGAGAACTCCCCCCTGCGGGCATCCTCCCGCAACCCGGACTGCAACAGTCTCACTTAGTAAGGTGGTATATGCCACTCGACTTTTGAGCATGCAGTCTATCCACCTGCAGCAGGTCTCCTCTAATCCGAGGTTCCTTGTAGCTCTCGTCAGTGACTGAAATGAGGTGTTATCAAACGCCCCTTCTATGTCGAGGAATGCCCCTAAAAGCACTTCTCTTGTTTCGAACGTCGACTCCACTTTGCTTACTAGCTGATGGAGTGCCGATTCGGTTGATCGTCCTGCTGTGTAGGCATGCTGGTCTTGGTGAAATGGTCGTTTTCCCATTACTTCATCCTTAACATATCTGTCCATTAGTTTCTCAAGAGCTTTTACTACAAACGACATAAGACTGATGGGCCTAAAGGCCTTCGCCGTAGAATAGTCTAGACGCCCATTCTTGGGTATAAAAGCCACCCTGGTCAGCCTCCAAATTCTCGGTATATATCCTTAGGCCGACTAGTAGGCCAGATTATAGGCCGATCCGATTATAATGTCCTTCGGCCCTTCTCCGTTCGTTTTTATGTGTACCGCTGTCAGATCCCAGTTGCAGAATTTTAGTAAGGGCAGTACTTTTATGTGTGTTTTTTATTAATATGCAGGCCCTAGGTCTGTCAGAGGTTCTACTGTATATAAGTTCCACCCCGACTCCCTTTAGGCCTTTTATTTGACCCTGGTTTATCCAGAGTTCTTGTATCAAGGCAATGTCACAGGTCTCCATTACCTTACAGAGGACAGCCGAAGCTGCCCTACTGTGGTGCAGGTTCGCCTGGACGACCCTCATTTCGAGACTCAGCGCCCGTCAGTGCCCGGAAGAAGACCCGTCCGAGCTTATAGTACGCCTTGAACTGGGTCTGCTCAAGGGCACTAAAAGACGCTAAGTCGATGGAGAAGGCGATGGTTTGGCCATTCTTCTCCACCTTCCTGCTTAGTGTAAGCCAGCCTCCCACATTCAGGCTAGGGTTTTGACGCCCAAGCCAGGTTCTGGCTTCACTTTCCTCGACTGTTACAGGACGTTAAAACTTTTTAAAATTAAGTTTTTTCTAATTATCTTAAATACCATTATTTTTTTATTTAAAATTGCTGTAGGTTGGACTAATAGTAATAATAACTAATAGTAATAGTATTTAATAATTAATTAAGGTAAAATATATAATTTATTAATTTTAATTGTATTTTAATTTTATTAATTTTGATTAATAGATAAAATTGCGTTTATCTCAAGGAGCCCGAATTCGACAAAATATCAAGAGATATATTTTAATTGGCATTAAACGGCCTACACAATTTTGATATCGAAAGAGAAAAAGTCAGTGGCGCACATGTTTTTTTTTTGAAAAATATGCCAGTGATAAGTGATAACCCATATGCACGTCTCTGATGAATTTATCGACACTTTTTTAACATTAAAATATGTAGCATTTATAGTAACTTTTACTTTGAAAATTTAACTAGAATCACTAAAAATACTTGGAAGAAAATTATAATCGAAAGATTATTAAGACTTTTACACCCTCAACCTTTATCTTATTTTTACGTGAGGAATCTCCCCACGAGAGATGGCACATGTTTTCTGAAAAACCCTGTATATCTTCTCTAGTTTAGGATTACCTAGATAATAAACTGTTATTTTATCTTCTAGATATGTCAAGAGGAGATTCGTGGGCGGGACGAATATGCTGTTCAATACCGCACAGCGAAAGTTGCCGAAGAGCGTGCGCAACTGGAACGCCACAAGAAGACTTATCTCGAAGTTGTAGAAAAAGCGACGAAATAGCATTTTTCAGTTGCATTCACAAACAACAAAAAGGTGAAGATTGTTGTGGAAATGCTAGAACAATTGAGTGTAGAGAAGTTTGTAGGTTAGTTAGTATGACTTTTCATTTCAATCTCAATAAGTATGAAAAAAAAGTATTTATATAGAATTGGTTTTTAAATTCTTTAATGCCACTTTTCCACACAATTATCACGGGTTTTGCGGAAATAAATACAGTTAAAATTAAACTCGCAGGATTACAATAATTTTGAAAATGAACACTTTATACATTTTTCGATATTCCTTCAATAAGAACGGTTTAAATTTTTGAGATTTTTTGGATTTATTAATTTTTGAAGATAAATAAAAATGATAAATACTTTGTTACTTTGTTTGTTGCTTATATATACTTTCTTTGCGGATGTTCTTAGCAAACGCTTAAGCAGCGCCCTACAGCGATCCAAAACAATTGTAATACAGCCTCTAACTCTACACTATCCCCGAAATGTTTTTCACCAAATGTTTTACGAAATATTTCTGTAAACATTTCGTGAAACATTTCGCAAAACATTTCTGGAAATACTTTCAAAAGTAAACTCAAATATAAGCCCGTGTTATAAAAATTAATTCCCATGTTTCCTGAAATAGATCGAGACGTTTTTTATTACTTATACAATAAAAATTGAGTAACTAACTAACTTTAATAATTAATTGTTAATCCAGATTAACAATAAAAAACAAACAACCAATCACGGCGCGACTCGATCTATTTCAGGAAACGTGGGACCTAATTTTTATAACACGGGATTATATTTATTGTACTATTTTGTGAAATAGCACGAAGCAATCAAGGTCAAACGTTGTGGTGGCTTCAGAAAAATAAGTAAACATGGAGCATGAATAAATATCATTAATTCGTAATGGATTATAATGTAATACCACTATATTAAATTGATATAAAAAATTAAAAATAGTGCATTTAGAAAACAGTTACCGACGGTTGATTAAATTGACTATTCCTCCAAGGTTACACAATAATATTTAGTTTTAATCATTGTCTAACATTATTAATTACAATATAGTAAAAAAATATATTTCCAAAAGTTAAAATCGTAAAACTGCAATGCAATACGGAGTGACTTTTCTGGTTCGCTTTTTATAGGTTATAATCCACTGTGTTAATCTATTTAAAAAATCGTCTAATTATTTCTTATTTTTGAATGGATTTATATCAAACCATGTTACTATTATATATAAAAGTATCTTTTATTGACATCAGGTCAAACAATAATTTTCCTAATCAGCTAGATATGATGTTGCCAGTGTTACTTATCAAGCACAAAACACACTACGAAATATCATCGTAACCACAGCTATTTTAGAAACGTCTAAGTTTACTATTTCCTTGAGATTTACAAAAAAAAGTCCTTTGCCTCGGGTACAGATACCACCACGTTTTGGAAATAGCTCAAAACGAAACAAAATTGAACGAGGCAACAGGAAACACCAAAAAAATACCCCATGCCCTCCTCACTAGTAGTTGTCAGGCGCTTTTAAGAATCTAAAGCAGGTCGAGGCAAACCGAGATGGGTCAAGACAACTGAAAATAAAACGAAATGCGACTAAGTTGGGTGACGAAATGCGACATTGATCTGCTTCGAAAAGTTCTCCGCATTGTTTAGAGGCTGTTTAAGTTTTGGCAGAAAGCCGAGCAAACCAAACCAACCTAAATTTATTTCTATTATCTATGGAGTAATGTCACTGTTTTATGCAATGACCGGCATAACAAATAATGGACACCTTAAAATTTTCATGTAATTTAAAATTCAATATTTTATGTTCTAGTAGGTCGATTTTGGTGATTTATTAAGTAATTTGTAGCTAAATTATTTGATTTTTAAACTCTTTTTTAAATTAAATTCCCACTCGTCTGTGATACGAGTAAAAACTATTTTTTAATATTTTTCTACTGTCACTGTCTTGGAAAAGTCATATTATCATTGTTTGTTGGCAGGTACACAGACGAAATGATTTTAAGTCCAGCAGTTGATCACTACCATGTTCAATTAAAGCAACACTAGTGGATACAACTTCTGGACTTCTATGCTAAAGTAACTTCCTACAAACAATATTATGACATTTCAATTATGGTGACTACCTAGTGACATTAGAAAAGCAATAAACACTATTTCGTAAGGGTGTTGATGTGGACCAAAAATGGCACGATTTTAATGCTAAAATTGCTTTAAGTTTGGTTTGGTTTGGTTTGGTCAAACCATTCTACAGGGTGTTTCATCAAAATTATATTTTTTCCCTCGTATGACAGATACAAAGTACAATTTAAAGAGATTTTTCTTAAAAGAGAAAAAAGAGGCTAAAAGTTAAATAATTGAGCTACAAATTGCCTAAAAAATAATTCTCCTGATGAAAATATTTCTGTTACAGAGATATATTTCGAAGTCAAATGACAGCAACAAAACACCAAAGACAAAAATTAAAGGATGAATGTGAACAAAGAAGTCCCAAAGTTATAGAATGTGTAAAAGATCTTATTAAAGTGACGCCGGTAGAAAACTCTCTGAAACGTAAGTAATAAATAAAAAATATAGCACACTGACTCTGTATCTTAATAATACTCTTCATGAATGTTATAGACAATGACTCAGACTTCCGTTGTCAATAATTATTATTTTAAGTTACACAACGTTTTGTATCAACGTTTTACAAAAGGAGGATGGGCTGTGAATCGACTCGGACCGGTCGACTCAACTAAGAGCTGTCGGCAGCTTTTGGCCTCGTCGAGGCTCGTCGACCGGCCCGATTCAGTGCGCGGGGTTACATTTGCGTCTATGTATACTAAAACTTGCCGAGAGATCTCAGTGGAGTCGACCGTTCTGAGTCGATTCAGTGAGCGTCCTCCTTAAGAGTCTATTACGCTGTACTTTCGGGTCGCTCTCAGGGGTCGGGTAAAGCGGGTATGCGGCTGAAGGAAATATATATTATATTTCAGAAATCTGCCTAAGACTTAGCCCGATCCTGTCGTTAAGCCACACCCAAAATTCCAAACACACATGCTTTGATTAAGGTTTGCAGAGCTTCAGCATTTGCCATAAAATAGCGAGCAATTTTTTACAAAACCATAAAATTATATATCACTGTAATCACAAAACTTTAATCTATTTCTGCATTGTAACGGAATTTTAAATTATGTCTTTATTTTCGAGAAAATTTTGTCCAAACACAAGGAATATTTTGTTGATGTTTGACCATCAAGATCTTAAAAATAAAGTAGTTGTCTAAAAATGTGCTACAATACGGATATAGTATATTAATCCTTTATCTTTAATTTCCTTCTTCATTTGTGTAAAAATACCTAGCCAGTTTTACACAAAACGTTAAATGCCGAATGCTTATATTGCTACTTTTTCGGACTAGTGAAATGCAGTAGCGTGGCGTGGATAAAAGGGCGGAGGAGGCGCAATGATCAATAAAGGATCAAATAAATTACAAACATTTTTTAAAATAATAAGACTACATTAAAACTTTTATTTTTTTTTTTTAATTATAAATTTGTTTATTATAAAAGTTAGTATACAAAACAGTTATTTCAAAGATGCAAGCGTCTTGTTTTAACCGATTTAAAAGAATCAATTATTTCGTCTATATTTAGATCCTGGGCTGTATCTGCTTCAATACTGGGAAGTGATAAATAATCCTCTGGTACTTATTAAATTCTTTCTAATCTACTGAAAGATCCTTCTGCGCCAGCACTGTTGGTGGCTATAGTGTAAAAAATCCTCAGTAATGCCCATAAAGATGGATATGAAGACTCTAGGTCATTGGAAGTTAAAAATGATAAATATTCGTCAGGTGCAAATTTGTTGTCATTGCATTAATTTCTTCTAATAAACTGCAAAAATGTTTATATTCATCAACTAAAGAATAATCCATAACAATCCATAAGACATTTTAAATTGTCATCATTGACGTCCATATCTATCCATATTGGTCCATATCCAATAAACAATTAAATTTTTGGCATATATTAAGGAAGTCTTCGAAACGATTCTCTAGAGTACCAGTTAAAATGTCTAAAGTACCATAAAACACTGATATCTTGAAATTATCCTCAGAATTTTGATGTAGGTAATCATTCTAGATTTCATCATGATTTTTTTTTATTCGTTGTCTTTTTGTGGAAAATGATGTTGACGTATTGCATTTATTTGCCAAAATAGTAGCCTGTTTTTTTAAATTTTCAAAATATTTTTCACTAGAAATTTCATTAAGAAATGATTTGAGATCTATAGTTACCGCAGTAATCATATGAGCAGCTGTACAGGGTTGGTCAAATTCGACGCTTTTAAATGGAAACACCCTTTTCTATAGGAGATAGACGAAAACTAATATCGGTGTCTGGAGCTCAATTTTCATCAAAAACATGATGGTGAAAACCGCACATCAATATCTGTTACCGTTTCGGAGTTACGGGGTGCTTTTCAAAAATGTGCATTTTTAACAAATCGCTGTAACTTTTTTACTATGGAAAATTTTGTATTTCTATGAAAACATTTCCAAAACACCTTTTTACGTAGAATTTAATGGTTTAATTATAATTTTTTTAAAATTAATAATTTTAGAGTTATCAACAGAAAAATTGATTTTTTATTTGGGACACCCTCTATATTTTTAATTAACAGAAAAGAATTTAAAATTGCCTTTCCAAAAATATAGCACACTTGATATTTTGTTATAATCCCCTTCGAAATACAGAATTTTTAAAAGTTCGCCACTTTAAACTAGTAGGCTTTGGCACTTATTGATGATATGCCCTTAATGGAACTCGAAAATATTTTTTTTTCAGCAAGACGACGCACCGCCTCTGAACGCTGAAGCTATCAGCAAATTTTTGCAGCCAATTTTAAGAATAATTGAATAGCTAACCAAGATTCCAGCCGTTGGCCGTCGAGGCCGCCTGACTTAGTGCCCATGGATCTAATCCTATGGATATATTTGCGGAAAAATAAAGGTTCCTTATTCTTCCGTATAACCTAGACAAGAATTAGAAATACTTAGCAGTTATGAGAGGGTATCTTTCACCCCACTGAATTAATGAATTCCGCGAGAAATGTTCAAAAACTGCCCCGTCTGTCCATAACATAAGACGGTCGATATGTCGAACACCTGTAGCAAAATCTCATGTCTTGGTTTGCTATTTTTTTTTGTTATTAGATATAGTTTAAATGTGTTGATGTTGGTTAAATATATTTTAAATTGTTATAAAATTCTGCATCTCTCATAGCAAATATTATTTTCGTTTTAATTGATGCTCACAGCTAGAATTTTTTTGCATTACAACCGGTGCCGTTTAAAGCCTACTTATTTAAAGCGGGCGAATTTTTATATACTCTATATCTCGAAGAGGAATCGAGCAAAATATCAAGTGTGTGATATTTTTGGAAAGGTAATTTTAAATTCTTTTCAATATAATTACAGGGTGTCCCATATAAAAAATCAAATTCTCTGTTGATAATTCTTAAATTATTCATTTTAAAAAAATTATACTTAAACCATTAAATTCTACGTAAAAAGGTGCTTTGGAAATGTTTTCATAAAAAAACAAAATTTTCCATAGCAAAAAAGTTACAGCGATTTGTTAAAAATGCATATTTTTGAAAAACACCCCGTAACTCCCAAACGGTAACAGATATTGATGTGCGGTTTTCACCATCATATTTTTGACAAAAATTGAGCTCCAGACACCGATATTAGTTTTTGTCTATCTCCTATAGAAAAGGGTGTTTCCATTTAAAAGTGTCGAATTTGACCCACCCTGTACATAAGTTGATATTAACCTTTTGCAAGTGATTGGACAATATATTCATTTTACTCAGCACTTCATTATAATCGATTATATTTCGGTCGGTGATTCCCCGAATTTTTTTTACATCGCGAATACTTTTCTCTCCTTATTTGGTGGCGCCGCGCCGGCGCAACATTATATCCAGCCATTGTATTTTTATCACAGATTTTTATTTATAGACAATGGTCTAGCGGTAGCGTAGTTTCAAGTTTCAAACCCATATGAAAACTTTCGTACGTAGTATATATGTCTACTTCATTAGAGATTTAAATTATTAAATATAAGTAAACTTTAAAAAACAAAAATAAAATGTGGGAAATATATACGTAATTTTTTTATCTTGAAGAGCTGAAGGGCACGGTAGGGCACCGTTTGTTTTTGCGTTAAAGTTAGTTTTTCTATTTTTTTCAAAGGGCGCCAGGGGCGCTAAGCGCATAGGGAGGAGGGGGCGTTCGCCCCCCCTGGCCCCCTATACGACACGCCACTGGTGAAATGGACACCTAACGGTTAGTGATACATCTGGGCGAAACGTTGTGTAAGTTAGAATAAAGAAAATGGAAGTGCGAAATTAATTTAGTCTCACTACCCTTCGTTATACCGGGTGTTAACAAAATCGTTGCACAGATTACTCATTTGGTTCATTGTTTTTTGTAATTTGATTAAACACTATTAGTCACAAAATTTACGGAAATTTCGGTACTTTCGGTACCGGGAATTCCCAGTTCTTTCCAGACATCAAAGAACCGGGAGTCGAAATTATTAATTCTCGGTTCTTTCGGTACTTTCGAAACTAGGTAATAATAATTAAAAACATATTTTTTGTTACGTGCAAAAAAGTTTTGATACTTTCTAGCGGTCGAAATCAAACGTTAATGATTTCGATAACGTTAATAACAAAAGTTTGTGTAATGTTCATTATTTGTGTTAATGTTTACTTCCTCATGACTTAATAATTTGATGTTATTTTCATTTGAAACTCTTGCTAATTGACGAACTTCACAATCATTGAACGAAAATATTTTAGTACGGTTCAGGAAACTCTAATTAATACTACCAATTAAGGTTCAGATACCGGGCCTCGGTAACAATAATTAAAAAAATATTTTTTTGTAACGTAAAAAAGTCCTTTGATACTTTCTATCGGTCGAAATCAAACTCTTCTAAATAAGTAATGATGCTATTTCTTATTGTTCTTGCTTCTTTTCTCCTTTGAAGTTCCTATCATATTTATTATGATATGTTTTAACAGATATTTGCATTTTTAATTCAATATTTTAGGGCTTTTGTCTCAAATTCAGTTAAGTTGGTTTATGTTGTTTGATGTGAAATTTAAATTACCTATACTTTTTTCTTTACTTGTGTTTATGTTTGTGTGTTCATGTTAATTTTATCATGACTGATCGATGACTTAATAATTTGATATTATTTTCATTAAAAAGCTCAATTTTTTATTCATTTTACTTTGAAAAACTATCCCTTGCCTTCTGATTGATGAACTGCACCACCATTGAACAAAAAATAGTCTGTACCGAAAGTACCGGAAAAATCGGGAAACCCCGGTTCCTAAGAGGTACCGAAATTCCCAGTTCCGCAAAACAGCTCCGGGTCCGAAAACCCTAATTAACATAACCGTGTTTTTGTCTGAATAATAAAAAAAATATATAAGGGTGAACCGTTTTTGAAAGACACCCGGTATATCGTAAAAAATAATTACTTTTAAAAAATGTAAATAATACACAAGGTGTCATTTAAAAATTTTGGATTAAGTGGATTAAACCATGCAAAAACCGCAAGTGACTGATGTCAATTGTTCTTTATTCTAAAATGTGAGTTTAAAGAAACTCGTTTTGAAACTAAGCTAAACTAAACTAACTATTTTGAAACTTACTAAGTTATTCGGTAAAAAGAAAAAAGAAACCAAAGAGCAGTTTCTGCAAACGATTTCATTGTCATCCGATATATTTTTGTATATAAGATTTAATTTAGTGAGATTTTATTCAAGAATTACAAATCTATTTTCACTCAGAGTATAATAGTAGAAAATAGATACAACTTATAGTATAAATTCAGGAAAACAGTATTAATTAAATTATTTATATTTAGACTTACACTGCTGTGATAAATCCAATAATATAAAATGTAGAGAGGCCTGCAAGGATGTGTTGTCGAAGACTAGTACTCTTCAAGAAATTTATGATGGATTAACAATGGGAGGATGTGGAGTCCCTTTACCACAGGTGTGTATCTATGTATATTGTAGATAAATGAAATAGTTGTTGTTTCTTATTTCTTTTAAAAGATTTTAATTAGTGATGGGAAAAACCGATTAATTTCAATAATCGAGTACTCGAGTTTCTTTCGATTGCAATAACCGAGTAATCGCTCGAGCGAAATATCACTCGTATTAAAAAATACGGTTTTTCATTTGCCTGCCGCTTGTTTAAGTACTTGTTAAAGCCAAGCGTCAAGCAGTAAGTTGCGTGCGCGGGGCACATATTCTTTCGGTGATGAATGGCAAGTAGCATGATACATGGACGGTTAAAACCAAACAAACCAAACTAACCCTTATGGTTTCGTAGACAAGTAGGAAGCGGCGAGCGATTCGCTTGATCGGTTAATTTAGTTTATTTCAAAGCATTGTCGATGTAGGTCGTAAATTTTTTTCTCTCAGATACGCAACGGATAAATATACAGGGTGGTCCGAACTGTATTCCGAAAACTTCGGCAGCATATTGTGTAGATAAAAATAAGTAAAAAAGTTCGTATAAATGTATGTCCTAAAATGCTTAGTTTCGGAGATACAGGGTGTAGAATTTTCATTTTTATTTCGATTTTATCTAAATTATTTCTGAAGCAACTCAATATTTGGATGAAAATTGGTGTCTAGGAGTCTTGTGACATGAGAAATTTGATTTTGATGTCAATATGACTCCTACTTGTAGGGGGCGCCATCTACATGTGTTTTAACTGTTTTTAAGAGTAATAACTTTGCGTCCGTACCTGTATAAAACTATGGAGTGAAAAAATATATATTTCCATGACTTTTTACGTAAAAAATGTCTCTTGGTAAAAATCGCTAAGAACAACCATTCTCAAGATATTTAGAATGGAAATAGTCAATACATGTCATTATTGACAAAAAATAAGCACACGAGTATAGTTATTTGACTGAAATTATACATTTTTATTTTTTTAAATTAATCATAATTTTTTTTGCGAAAAAATAATGATTAAACAGTTTCTCTTGAACTTTTGGCACACAAATATTTGAAATGTATGATTTCAGTCTAATAACTATTTAGTTAACATGTTAACGTAGTCAACAGAGTCAACATGATAATTTCGATTCCAAATATCTCGAGAACCATTACTCATAGCGATTTTTACCAAGAGACCTTTTTTATGTAAAAAAAGTTGTGAATGTATATTTTTTTACTCAGTAGTTTTATACAGGTATGGACGAAAAGTTATTACTCTTTAAACCAATTAAAACATATGTAGGTGGCACCCTTTACAAGTGGGAGTCATGTTGACATGAAAATCCCCCAAATTTTTCATGTTAAAAAACACCCAGACACCAATTTTCATCCAAATATTGATGTTACTTCATAAATTATTTGGAAAACATCGAAATAAATATGAAACTTCTACACCCTGTACCTCCGAAACTAAGCCATTTAAGGACATAATTTATACGACCTTTTTTACTTATTTTCTTCTGCAGAATATGCTACCGAAGTTTCCGGAATACAGTTCGAACCACCCTGTATATACGGCGTCGTATAAATTTGCTACCTGTAATGTATGTAGAAAATTCGCTCGGCTTTTTATAGAGTATTTATGTCACATTAAAATCGGATTTCAATTTATTTCGTTCTAGGATCGCTTGCTTTCGTCGCTTGGTACTCGTCACTTGCATCGCTCGTTCATAATCGAGCGATGTTGGTTATTTCAATAATCGAGTACTCGAGCGAAATTTCGCTCGAGTGATCCCATCACGAATTTTAATAACATTAATATTTTTGTTGCCAGGAATATTTTTGGCAATGTTTTCTTCATCGATTTACTGATGATTCTAACAATTCTATGGAAAAATCGAGAATTGAAAGAGTTGGTATGGATAGCGCTAAGTGGCATTGTTGTCAACGAGCTAACTCATCAGAATGCAGTAGGTTATGTTCGAAAACGTTCACGAAATCTTGGGACACAAATTCAAAAGATTTTCATATCAAATGTTTAAGCAATATTAATGAAGAACCTTTAAGAAATTGTATTGATGAAGGTTAGTATCTATTATAAACAATACAGATAAACTTAATTTTGACACAGATAAATGAAAAGATGTTTATTTTTTTTAATTACAGTTCATTTCTTCACAGGGGAAAGTAACTTAAATCGTACCGCTTTGCACAAAAGTTTAAAAATTTACCAAAATTTTTGGGCTAGTTGGTCGTTACTATTGCGAATATTTTGATCTCTTCCTAATCTTATACATATTTTTCTCATAATTTTATTGACATTATATCAAACATAAAAATAAATTTTTAAAAGCTTTACCGCTTTGCACAAAAGTTAAAACAAATACCAAATTTTTCGGACTGGATGGTTGTGATTATTGCGAATATTTAGTTTCACCTCATTCACATCTTATATACAGGGTGAGTTTCCTACGATATTCTGTATGGGTATCTCGGAAACTACTGGAGATAGAGAGTTGGTTAAATGGGGAAAGAATTGCAGTTTTGTGGGATCATAAATACGCGCCTTTTAGATTTTTGGAAAAGTTCGTGGCTTACTAGATGTTTCAAAAAAAAAACAAATTTCGGCTATTTTGAAAATTATTACTAATTCCATTATAATCTATTTGAGACAAAAAGTTTTCAGATACAAGTTGTAGATAATCACATCCTTAATGAGATTGTGTCCTCCGTTTTTTTTAAAGCCTCTCATTTTTGACATATGACTCAAAGGTTTGTTTTTTTTAATGGAAACCATAGTTGCTTCTAAAACATATACCATAATTGCTTCTGATCGAGCATTATGGTGTTAACACCATACAAACTTCTAGCATTACCTTTGTTTATTTTAATCAGATGCAAAAAAACGCAACGGAGAAATTTTTGGCTAAATTTAAAGTGTTATATTTTTGTTATTTTTAGCCCTATTTTCATGATTTTTTTAGCAAACTGTATATAATCAAATCGGCTTTAATTCGTAAACTAAATTTTTTATAAACTTTAGTATTTGGCATATTATGCAGGGTTAATCGAGGGGTTGTTTTTTCCCTAACTTTAAAACACCCTGTACAATAATTTCGTGTGTAAATTTTCCGAGAATATAATTTTACTGTCAGAACGTCAGAACCATGACCCCTGAGCATTTTGTTTTTTGATTCATGTTAATAGATCCTTTGGTTAATCTTTAAGAGCGAAATGAACTGATCACGATCAATTTGCAATTTTTTCAATTATCATTACTTTTTGATGTAATTTTTTAATATGACTAGATAGTTTTTGTGACAATTGTCGTAATGTCATATTACGCTGCATTGGATACTTTATACTAAATATAAAAAAAAACGTTAAATACTAACGATATAGTCCTGGTTTTAATAAACATTAATAACTATAACAGAACTAACAATATTAAAGAAAGCATCTGTAATACTTAAGCTTTGACTTAAGTAAGTATACGAACAGAAAAAAAAATTGTAAAAAGTACTCTATTACTTTGCATTGCTTTCCTCGGCTGCTCTAACTGCCTGTATACGTCCGTTCACACTGTCATTGAGGCTGAATATATCATATTGAGTTATGCTTTCCCGTTCTTCTTTAAGAACCAAGGTTTGCACAGAGTGTTTTAAAGCAAGGGTAAAAAACAACCCCTCAATTAACCTTGTATAATATGCCAAATACTAAAGTTTATAAAAAACTGACTTTACGAATTAAAGTTGATAAAATTATATACAGGTTGCTTATATTCAAAATTGTCAAAATTCATGAAAATGCGGCTAAAAAATAACAAAAATATACACTTTAAATTTGACCAAAAATTTTTCCGTTCCGTTTTTTTTTTCATCTGAGTGTCTATACACAATGACATTACCAAACACAATAAAAATGTACACCTAACTTACTCCGATGCATTATCAAACTCAACGGTGTGCAAAAAATGTAGACCCTTTCAACCATTCCGAACTCAGCTTAAAATATGAATATAAATAATTGAACCTATACTTCATAAGTATATTTATTTTAGTTGACGAACCGTGCGAACTTGGATGCGACGGCCTCTCCTTTTGCACGAACTTTAATAATAGACCAACCGAATTATTTCGGTCTTGTACATCGCAAGCAGACGAAGCAGCCAGGAGCGAGGTAACGATGTGGCAAAATCAAAGTAATATTACGTTAAGAAGTATCACATTACCTCTTAAGTCGATGGAAAAATATGCAAACATTTGGAAGGCTGTGGCTTGTGCTCTTCAAATCAAGCCATGCTCGAGGTCAGCATGCGTGTTATACTAATCGTACAACGAAATAAATAGTGGCTATGTTACTGTGAAAGTCCAAAATCCGGTGAATTTCAGCATTCACCAAGTTTCTTGGCGTATGTCTAAAATATTGATCAAATATCATTATTTCTAACAAACACCAGAGAATGTCAACATTCATTATATTGACATTCAAATATATACTCACTCGACAGAGAGATTTAATTCTCTTTAATTTACTTAATACTGAGATATTCGCTAGAACGCAACAAAAACCTGAAAAAGGCTACGAATTTTACCATCTTTTGGGCCTCCTGAGACGAACGGCGGTCGAGCAAACATAGGAAACTTCTCTTTCACGTCAAATGAGCCGATTATATCAACAATTAGCTTTCCAACACTTTTTTCCAAGTGACCCCTCTATTATTTGACTGGCTTATTATACATATTTACTTATTAAATCATGAAAAACGTTTTTCAATTAACAAGAAGAAATTGCACGTATACGCATTCCAGCAAACCTTGCGTCTTGTAGTATCCCCGAAATGTTTTACGAAATATTTCTGGAAATATTTCGTAAAACATTTCGCAAAATATTTCTGGAATAGTACGATAAATATAAGCCCGTGTTATAAAAATTAGTTCTCACGTTTCCTGAAAGTGACCGAGACGCGCCGTGATTGGTTGTTAGTTTTTTATTGTTAATCTAACACCCAATCACGGCGGGTCTTTTTATAACACGGGCTTATATTTATCGTACTGTTTAGTGAAATAGCACGAGGCAATCAAGGTTAAACGTTGTGATGGCTTCAGAAAAATAAGTAAATATAGAAAAACTGATATGAAAACAGTTACCGATGGTAAATTAAATTGCCTATTCCTCGAGGGTTACACAAAAATATTTAGTTTTAATCATTGCCTAATATTACTAATTACAATTATAACTAGCGGTCTACCATTTATCGGTTTATAAACCACGGTATTGCACCTCATGAACAAAATATACACACATTTTTTTGAAAAATTGTCTAATTATTTATTATTTCTGGTTATTATTTCTGGTTATGGTAAAGTAACATTTATACTGCAGTCTGTAGCAAAATTTAGTTTACGAATTTGGTTTTGTTTTTCTAGTTTTAATTGTAATTGTTTAATCCCTGCATAATAAATAATAGTTGAATGGATTTATATCAAATCATGCTGGGTGCTAATAAAGGTATCGTTTAGAAATTTCTCTTAAGTACAATAAAAGAACATTGCTTTTACATAATGTCCGTGAACCATACTTTGGTTAACATCGGGTCAATTAATAATTTTCCCAAGCGGATATATTGATAATGTTACCAGTATTACTCATTAAGCAATACTGCTGTTATATTAATCAATTAAGGCTCTAAACAAACATATCATATACAATTTTATATACTAATTCATTATAATAAAATTAAATCATAAAAATATTGTAATTATATTCCTGCAGCAAGTGGAAAGGTTTGTTTCTAAATATCTACTATACGTACACATAATAAACGCGTGTTCAAATATTAATTCTGTGGAATATATATCAATATAACATAAAACGGGATGTAATTAACGAAATATCATAGTAACAAAATAACTATTTTAGGAACGTCTAGGATTACGTATTTCACTGAGATTTATGAAAAAAATCCTTTGCCTCGGATACAGATATCGCCACGTTTTGGAAATAGCTGAAAACAAAACAAAATTGAACGAGGCAACAAAAACACCAAAAAAATCCTCCCACACCCTCCTCACGAGTAGTTTTCAGGCGCTTTTAAGAATCAAAAGTAGGTCGAGGCAAATCGAAGTGGGTCAAGACAATTGGAAATAAATCGAAATGCGTCAAAGTCGGGCGACGAAATGCGACCTTGACATGTTTCGAAAAGTTTTTCGCATAGTGTACATGCTGTTCAACATAAGAGCGACAAAAGCGAAGCAAAAAAATAAACCGACAAAAGGCAGTTATAAACAAGCGGTTATTAAGAAAATGTCACAATTCATCTTCAATGTTTGCGCACCTTACGTCAAGGCGAAATCTTACTTACAAGAAAACAAAGAACTTCGAAAAAAAAGGTTGAATCCAAAGCAATCAAATGCTTTGGTTCAACTGAGTTTTGATTGCTTTGGTTTCAAGCTTTTTTTCGTGATGCTTTATTTTTTTAAATACGATTTTCCCTGACGTAAGATGCACGAGCATTGAAGATGAATTGTGACGTTTTGTGAATATCAGCTTGTAGTTATAACCGTTAGTTTCTAACTTTCACCGGAGCTTATTTGTGGTTGTAGATATAGAAAGGTGAAAGTCCGAATTTGTGATACATTAATAGATGTTCGGTCTTTTACCAAACCACCAATTTTTTTACTATCTGTGTCGATATTTTTCATTCTTAATCTACGATCGACATTGACCGGTGTTAACATTCACTTATTTCAAACTTTCACAGTAACATCTACACCTTTTTGGCGTGATTTCTATTGGAAAAATGCTGGATATTTGGCCAATGAAACACAAAACTCAAATATGATAACAGTACTTGTAAAATACCACTCCGACTGAGTTTAGAATAAATGGAAATGATCTTCTCAGTAGATTTTTACTTGTAAGCAAATTTGTTTAAGCAATGAAAATTACTTTAACGTTTTATCACAGATTAGGTATCCTATAAGTATACAGATAAAAATCTTGTCCCTAATTCGTGGTACGAAAATTGTTTTTTATGACGATGTGCAAACGAGTCAAATTTCCTGTGCGCAAAAATAAACTCGCGTAAAATAACAATAAACAGCGTAATAGAGAGATATCGCTAAACCGAATAGGCGTGCATGGACGTTAATAAGGCCAGGTGTTATTTCCTTTACGTGAGGTGGTATTAACTCTCTTCATTTATAGTTATCGGATCGGAAAGAATTCTGATCGCGTCGCGTCCGCTATTTAAACTTAACCTAACTTTGAATTTAAAACTTTGAAATTGTTTTGTTTACTAGGTATTTTAAAACTAACGGGCTAAAGTGCTTATTTTCAGTGCTTTATTGTTCAACGTCTGCCAGTGGGTTTAGGGCAACAAGCAACAAATTCTCTTAGAAGGGCTAAGTCGTCATCTGCTGTAAACCTAAGATTCTTTATAGGTTCTTTAGTAGGTATTGGAAGAGGTGGAATCCATATTTTGGGCCATATTTATTTAATTAAAACTAATCCCAGCTACTTAAATATCAAATACCTAATAAAACTAAAGCAATAATTCAAAACAATTCAAAAATAACCTAAAATAAAAGATCTCGCCGGCCGGCTCCGTTTGTCAAATACCCGCACATGCCCATTTAAGCAATTTTTAAAGGTTATCAGAGGTTATTTAGAAAGAGCGCTTGGTGTAATATTGATCCGCAAATTACGTCAGGTGGTAACGTTATTAGCGGGTTGCGTTAGAAATTGACTCGCACATATCGTAACCATGATAAAGTCCGCGTAAATACTGGATGACGCTATTCGGTTTTCCGATATCTCTCTAATAACTGTGCCGGTCAGGCGCTGTGCACAATTTTAGAGGCAATAAGTGGGCGTGCTATGTGCGCAAACTAGTCACCTAACTAGTGTCCGATTCCGAAAATTGGAACCACGAAAAACAATAAAGAAAAAACAAAGATTATAATCTGTATAATCTGTGGTTTTATAAAGTTTTTTGTTTCAGTAGCCAAATATCCAGATGTTTTCCATTAATCGTACCACGATCAGCATGAATATTATACTAACCATAAAACGCATGAGCAGCCTCTGTTTATAATGTTACCCGTATCAGAAACACCTACCCCATATTCTAATACACGTAATTGTAACGGGATGGCGCCTCTCAAGACGTAGGCTCTCTAAAGGTCTAATTTCCTAGCGACGCGACGTCTGGAGACCGCGGCCCGCCGCGCACTGGTTTGTTTTCCTATAAAGTTATACCACAGAACAGATTTGTATCTGTTCTGTGGTTATACATTACTTTTCATTTAATAAAATATAGGTTTTGGCTACGTACGTTCATAAAAATGAACCAGTGTGCGGCGAGACGCGGCTGCCAGACGTCGCGTCGCTAGGAAATCACACCTTAAAGGTGAGTTGACACCATAGAGAAAGATAGTAAATTTTTTTTATTACTTTATGGTTGACACGATCCAACTTTATTTAGACAAAGCACACTTGGATGCTGCCACATAAGTATATTTATATGGCAGCATTCAAGTGTATTTTATTCAAGTACACTTGAGCCGTGTCAACCGCGGGCTGAGTGTTTAAAAAACCTTATACAGGATGGCTCGCATTAGTGTGAGAAAATCCAAGTTCGTCATCGTTAGTCGTGGTCGAATATATCAAAAAAAGTTGTATACAGGTGTTGCATGTTTTATAAAGGGGATATCCTAAAATATTTTGTTGTATATCCTGTATACGCAAAAAAGTCTATGTCGCAAAAAAAGTTATGATATAGTTTTCAGTTTTTTTTAAATTGCACCTCCCATTTTTATGTACAGATTTAGCATAAAATTCTGCGTATAGTACGTAATTTATATTTTCACCACTATCTTTTTAGAACATGCAACACCTATGTAAAACTTTTTTTCATACTTTTGTCAACGACGATATTGAACTTCCTCACAGTAACGAGCCACCCTGTATATCAAAGTTATATTTTTTTAATGAGAATAACCTATACATAATTAACTGGTTCTCGTTTCATTAAAGAAGTTCATAAAAAAATTGAAGGTTTTTAATATATTTAGCATTTTCGAAAAATGTAGAACAAATAATAAAATTCGAATAAAAGCTACCTTAATTAAAATTTACACTGTGTGTAAATTTACATATTTTTATATAGATATTTAAATCTGATACTATACAGGGTGAGCATTGGTATCTCGGTAACCGTAATATATGCGTATAACCGAATAAGATGGTTAAATTGGGGCAAAATTGCGCTTTGGGATGTTCACCAAGAATCCATCAAAAAAGTTTTAAAAATTTCAAGGATTGCTGAGTTTTTTGGAAAAAACCGATTTTTTTGAAATTCCATTTTATTTTTTCCTGTCGTTATTTTTTAGAAAATCAAAAACTATCTGATAGTATTTTTAGATTTTCAAATTAGCTGATAATTTGTGAGATACATAAGCCAACTTATTTTTTTTTAAATACGGAGCTGCATTTTTTATTTTAGGTTTTGAAATAACTCGGTCTCCTGAGTACACTGATATGCCACAATACTATACTTTTCTTTTGTTTTGGGTACCTTAACAACAACAAAACTATTTAATTATTATTTAAAATAATTTTAAGTCTGATTATATAATAAATCAACTTCTATAAACTAGTTCTACATGTTCGAAAATGTTACCCCCCTCCCTATTGCAAAAATTTATTTTTCGTTCAATTTTATTTGCTCTTTGAATGAAAGCTCTTTGAACTTTCTTCTTATACTTCCGAATGCATTTTGTACTTTTTATTGTAAATGTTGAGTATTAAGATGTATTAATTTCACTTTTACAAATGCCGTCAAGTAATGTCCCCCCTTCGTGACAGAACCTCGCTAGCCATTATACTGCTCTACCATTTCCAATCCATCTTCCGGGGAAATGATTTGATTATTTATAATATATTATATTATATTTATATTATTTTATAGCGTTTGATTTTCCGTATTCAATGTTTTACGCCACGTCATTGTTAAGTTTGAAAGCTTATCAATATTTTAATGATGAATAGATTAAATATTAAAAAAAAAACAGAGTCGGGCTTGAAATTAGTTTAAATAAATCGTGTTCAAATGTCCGAAACAAACAAAAATATTAAGTGTGGCATATCATTGTACTCAGGAGACCGAGGTCTTTCAGAACCTGAAATAAAAAATGCAGGTCCATATTTAAAAAAATTAAGTTGGCCTCTGTATCTCACAAATTATCAGCTAATTTGAAAATCTAAAAATACTATAAGATAGCTCTAATAAAGTGGCTATGAGAATGTGCAATTAGTTTTTTTATATTCTAAAAAGTAACGATAGGAAAAAATTAAACTGATTTTCAAAGAAATCCGTTTTTTTCAAAAAAACTCAGCAAACCTTGAAATTTTTAAAACTTTTTTCATGGTATCTTAGTGAACATCGCAAAGCGCAACTTTGCCCCAATTTAACCGCGTTCGTATTTATTACGGTTACCGAGATACTAATGCTCGTACCTCGAATATGTAGCACCTTGTATAGAGTGTGACCATCGGGCATAATTTTATCTCTATAAAAATTATGATCTCCTATTCTAGCAGAGCTTCAAAAATTTTTATTAAATTGTTGTACACTTTCTTAAAAGCTCTTTTCACATCTTCACAATGAATACAGTAAAAAAGTTAAAATAACTGACATTTCCCAAAAGCATCGCTGTTTTAGGCATTCCCACGCCAACCAAATATGCAGAGATGTGTGCTTAGAAATCCTTTCCCAATGTGTTGATTGGTCAAGAATATCACCAGTATATTCAGCAGAATCTATCTGTGATTCCTTATCACCAGATGATCCTAATATGTCGTGCATAAAGTTACATGAGTATCTTTATCCATCTGCAATAACTTATCAAAAAATATCAGGTAACCAGTACTATAAACACATATGAGTAAATTTAGATGTAAATATTAAATTTTAGGACAAATATCAAGTCCTTGCAAAGGTAACCCGTGTGAACATAATGAGATATGTCTCATTAATAAAAACTGTATTCATGGAATTAATTGTAAACCTTATATTTGTCAACCTGGTTGTAAATTAGGTGAAGTTTCTCAATACATGGTAAGTTTGTCAAATAAAAGATATTGACTAATAGTCTAAGAGCTGGCTACATAAAAACCCTTATCATCGTTACATGGCTAATTTTTTTTGTGAAGTATCCTTTAGTGTAGCCATTATGAAATAGTCATGTCTGCCAGCGCGATCCCGGGGCTTAAAGCGGGGGCGGCCAATCAAAAGGGTGAAATTTTGACACTAAAAATATTATAAGGTAGACGAGTTATAATTGCGAAAATAGCTTTTATTTATTATTAAGAAACGTGGAAAATTGTTGGCAAGCATGTTCCTCGTGGCTAAAATGCCGACAGACAACGCGAAAGAGGCATGAAATTTTGTAAAAAAAATTATGGCATACATGCATGCCAATGGGAGGAATGTCATATTTATTTATTTTTAAAGCCGTATACAAAAAGACAGACAAAAAGATCGTGGCAAAATCAGCGGCAGACAGTTATCAAAAGCGCAATATTACTCTAGCGATTTCAGAGAACGCTCGCCGTCTCATTCAGTTAAGTATAGATAAATCATGCATACGCAATAATATTATAAATATATTTTTTTTATTATTTCAATAACAGATATCATACATTTACTATTCTGTCTCACTATTTAATGTATCTGACTCGTCGTACTGCAGATCTTCGCTCTCGCAAACGAGTCTTCTTCTGAGTCGATATCTGCACCGTAAAATTTTTGTAGATTTACATAGTGTGTTCTGTGATTTTTCATGTATTATGTTTCAATTGATAACGCGACGAGCGTTTGACATGAAAACGCTTATAGGTACAGGGTGGGTCTTAAATAAGTGCAAATAATTTTAGGGCTGATATATTTCGACCCCAAAAACACGTCACATGAGGTTCTTTTTCGCAAAAAAAATGTAGAAAATCGTGCATTTTTTTAAATTTTACTGTATATTTTAGAAAACTTTTTAGAACTGCCTGTTTACCGCAAATTTACCCACGTTATAATTGCTTCTTAACCTATCATGCTTACGGCTTTACTCTATGGTTACGACACTAAAAGAATGGATGCAAGTACAGAAAAAAACAGGTGCCTCACAAAATTATTTACTCACACCCAATTTAAACTCACCCTGTAGAGTAAGACGGCGCTTTTGATAACTGTCTAACGCTGATTGAACCACAATTTTTTTGTCTGCCCTTTTGCATATGTCTTTTTAAATAAATAAACATGACATATTCCACCAATCGGCATGCATGTATGCGATTATTTTTTTTTTGTCAAATTTCATGCCTCTTTGGCGTTGTCTGTCGGCATTTTAGCCACGAGGAAAATGCTTGCCAACAATTTTCCACGTTTCTTAATAATAAATAAAAGCTATTTTTGCAATTATAACACGTGTATATTATAATATTTTTAGTGTCAACATTTCATCCTTTCCATTTGCCGCCACCCCTTAGAACCCCAGGATCGCGCTGGCAGATATGACAATTTCATAATGGCTACACAAAAGGATACTTCACAAGAAAAATTAGCCATGTAACGATGATAAGGTTTTTTTTATGTAGTCAGCTCTCCGTCTATAAGTCTATATGTACAACGAGTGGATACCTATAACAGTGACAATTATTGTTGTCTGTCATTTTAACTCAAAAGAAAATTGTACATTCTGTCATCTTTTGGATGTGGTCTGTTGAAATCTTTCCTGATTTATTGAACAGACTTTATACAGGGTGTTTCAAAAAACATGTGCCATCTCTCGTGGGAAGATTCCTCGCTCATGTAAAAATATGATTTATTTTTCATATCAACATAGCTGCTTTGCTTCGCAACTACAGGGCGTTAGTCTTAATAATCTTTCAATTTATTATAATTTTCCTCCAAGTACTTTTAGTGATTCGAATGAAATTTTGAGGGTAAAAGTTACTATAAGTGCTACATATTTTAGTGCTAAAAAGTGTCTTCAGGGACGTGCATATGGGTTATCACTAGAATATTTTTCAAAAAAAAAGTGCGCCACTGACTTTTTTCTTTTGATATAAAAGTTGTATAGGCCGTTTAATGCCAATTAAAAATTATCTCTTGATATTTTGTCGAATTCAACCTCCTTGTTGTAGTGGCGGCTCGTCAGGTGCAGTAGGTGAAGGGGCACTTCACCGAAAAAAATACTCAAATTAAAGAAAAAACTTTACTGATTAAAATATTAATTTAGTTTAATATATTTACATGTCTGAAAAAATCTAAATAATAAAATGGTAATATTTTATAATTTTTTTTTCCGGGCGGACCTCTGCATAATAGGTCCACCGCATGGTTAATTCCGGCTGAAAAAGTAGCATTATTGGCCCGCACGCGCCTACGTTTCCACGATGCCACAAGTAAAGAGAAAATATTTGTGAGCCGAGCGGCTGCACGGTTTCCATGGTAACGTGACGTCAGCGGCAGCATGTAAATTTCCCGCCCCGAAATTTTTTATCGGCGACCGAAGTGAATAAGTTTTTCGGCAGTTCGCTTCGTCTTCCTTTATGCTAATATTCGGCTACTTCGGCGAGTAATTAACCGTGTAAAGACTGTAAAGTTGTTGTTGATTCTTTATTGTTGTTTGTTAACGGTTTTTGTTGATTTAACTTGTTAATTTTTGCTGTTTGTTTTGTTGTTGTATTTTAAAACTGTTTTGTGTGTATGTATGTGTTATAAAATGAACCCAATCAATGACTTGGTGTGCAATTTGAAACAAAAAAATTAGTAAGGTTAGTAATATAAATAAGTCAAATTTATTTTGGTTAATATTGCTTAGTAAACATTAATGTAATAATAATTAATGTAATAATTGAATAATATATATTGAAATTATATAATAATATATGAATTATATAAATAATATATATGAATATAATAATATTGAAATTTTTTCAATATCGAAATTTCAGTGAAAAAACCGAGGAAAAAACGTTATACCTATGAAAATTACAAACTTATTTCACTGAATTCCTTATTTTGAAAAAAATGTCGGTTACAACGGTTTTCGGGGAAGCCCTTCAATAAATACAGTGTTCGCCATAAAGTTGGATCCAAATGGACGTTTTTTTTTGGTATTATTGGAGTTTAAAAAAACTTTTTGTGGCAATCAATTCTGCTTTAAAAACAACTTAAAATGCACCAAGTCAAAAGTAAAACATAATTTTTTTAGTCACCCTTTTTAAAATAATAATAATTTAACCAATTTTTAAAAATTTCTTTTAAATATTTTGTATTTGACAGCTCCCAGATGTTAGCTGTCAACTTTGACTTGGTGCATTTTAAGTTGTTTTCAAAGCAGAAGTGATTGCCACAATTTTTTTTAAACTCTAGTATAAAAAAACGTCCATATGGATCCAACTTTATGGGGGACACTGTATATAATGTTTATTATATATTTATAATTATATTTTCACTGGAATGCAAAATGATGTGTTTATCGAAAACTGGTTGTATCTTTTTTTACTTAATGTGTTTTAGCCCAAACTAAAACGAAAATATTATAGATATTCGTGTATAAATAATAACAAAAAAATGTTGACAAAATGGTGAATGCAGCAAAAAAATTTCAAATAATATTTTAAAAAATGTTGACAAAATTGTGAATGCGCCAAAATTTATTAATCACGGTTAATAAAATTAAAATAAAAATAAAATTAGTAAATTATATATTTTACCTAATTTATTATTAAATATTATTATTTTTAGTTATTATTACTATTAGTCCAACTGACTGCAATTTCAAATAAAAAAATAATAGTATTTAAGATAATAGAATATATCTAATTTTAAAATGTTTCAACTTCCTGGAACTCTAAAACTATGCATTTCCATACCCATATTTATAGAAACTTTTTTCCATATTTTTTAGTGAGGAATAAATAAGTACTTATTTTTAACTTTTACAAGTTAATGATATTCAATTTTTTTAAAGATTGCTATTAGACTTGGATCAAGGCAAATTAATAAAACTGCGTTTATCTCATCAAGGAGGCCGAAATCGACAAAATACCAAGAAGCAACTTTTAATCGGCATTAAACTGATAACACTGTTTCGCTAACAAGAGAAAAAAAAGTCAGTGGCGTACATGCTTTTTTTAGAAAAATATTCCATTGATAACCCATATGCACGTCCCTAGTGAATATGTCGACACTTTTTTAGCTTTAAAATATGTCGCACTTTTAGTAACTTTAACCTTCAAAATTTAATTTGAAACGCTAAAAGTACATGGAAGAAAATTATAATAAATCGAAAAAGTATTAAGATTTTAACACCCTGTAGTTACAAAACAAAGCTAAATCGGACCTATGTTGATATGAAAAATATATCTTATTTTTACATGAGGAATCTCTCCACGAGAGATGGTACATGTTTTTTGAAACACCTTGTATAACATTTGTATGAAATATAATGATATTAAGTTTATAGATAATATGAATAGAAAATTGATTGAATGGAATGAAAATAACGCCATAACAAATTAAGTAGTTTTTGTGGCGTTTGATTTTATATCTCCCCATACATTTTCCTGGTGACTGCAATTAAGATTAATAATTTTGTAGAAAATGATATTTTAATAATGTATGACAATTTTTTCTCATAGTCTATCTCAATATTTCTATAATCGGTAAATATGATCTCAACAAAAGGCGCTGACATGCAATTTCGAGTCCGATTATTTTGTTGCAGAAGTGAAAACAGTATACTCTTATATGGATCGGTCGACTATTTGATTGCATGTGTGCGCAGCTTCATAGGAATACATTGTTTTCAATTCTGAAGGCGCTGATATGCAATTTCCAGTCGGCCAATTATTTAGTTGCAAAAATACACACACACAGACACACAAAAAGCTTTCTTTTTTCGTCAATACTTCGTCGGCCACACGGTTCATTTTCTATTATCCTTTTTTTCAGGTTCCAGATGGCTCGTATGTTCGAATACCAATTCCACATAACCCAAAAGGATGCTTAAAGATTTGCAAATGCAACAAGAATAGAATTGGGGAATGTCAGCCTCTTCCATGCATACCTTTAACCTCATGTTTATTAGGTATATGAATATGCATCTTATTACACGTTTCTTTTTAGTTAACTGAAATGTCGAAAGTTTATTATTTTTATTTTCTAATGTATACCTATAATTAGAACGGTAGATACCAGAACTAAACATCATGTCTCAACAAAATAATTCATTCACGAGTTGTAGTTATTAATGTTAAAAAATTCAAACGGTGAGCAAATAATTTTGTCATCAGATTGCACCTAAAGTAATCAACAAACCGATATTTATGGTATTCTCGAGGAACCCAAGATGCTAATAATGGGGATTTACTCGAGCATCATCAGGACCTTTTGTATTGTGAAAATACTGTTACGGATTCCGTGGATCCACTAATTTAAACTCACGATAAAATACTTAACGAATTTATTTTCTCACTTTATACACAATTACTAACTTATAACACACAACAAACTAACTATTTATAAGATTCCTTCACCAAATTGTCCGATTTTCAATTTCCACGCGGTATATTCAAATTTCAAAAACTGTCTCAGTTGTCGATGGCTCCGGCTTATATACTCTATTGACTGCTTCTCGAAATTTCCCAATTCTCGGAAAGCGTACTTCTTCATACCAGACAATTCTATTGTCTGATTCCCTTACTTCTCGACTTGACTAAAAAGATGGCGCCTGAAAAAGTCTTTTAATTTCTGGCGGATACGTTGCGGTTGTGCAGGCAACCAGTAATACATTTTTAATTTCTGGCGGATGCGCCATTTTTCTTGACATTGCCCCCTTCTCAAATTTGATCGTCCCGATCAAGGTTCCTGTCTGGTATCTCTTCAATCGATCCAGATGAACTACTTTCATCTTACTTCTAGGGCTGCGTTGAATCCGGTACACAACATCATTTATCCTCTTGATGACTGTATAAGGACCTTCCCATGCTGGAGTTAACTTTGGGGACCTCCCTTTCTTGCGCTGTGGGTTATATAACCATACCATATCGTCCTGTTGAAATCCCGTAGAATTGGCTCTGAGGTCGTAACGAGCTTTCATCCGGTCACTGGCTAGCGTAATCTTACTTCTTACGGCCTTATGAATTTCCATTAACCTTTCCTTCAGTTCATCCGCGTAGTCCTCTACATTTGTGGTGCCGTCGTCTGGTGATCCGAACACCAAGTCACAAGGCAACCGTAATTCTCGACCAAATAAAATCTTCGATGGTGAAAGTCCGGTGGTGTTGTGAACTGCACTTCTATACGCCATTAGGAACAGCGGTATGTGTTGATCCCAATCTCTTTGATGTTCGGCCACCATTTTCGAGAGGTGTTCTTCAATGGTCTTATTGAATCTTTCGACCATCCCATCAGACTGCGGATGTAAAGCTGTTGTCCTAGTCTTGTGAATACCAAGCAGATCACACATCTTCTGGAACAGTCTTGACTCGAAGTTCCTTCCTTGGTCAGTGTGAAGCTCTAAGGGAATTCCAAATCTACTGAAGACATTATTGACCAATACTTCAGCTACATCGATGCTTCTTGGTTTGGAATGGCAAAAACTTCTGGCCATTTACTGAAATAATCCATCGCCACTAAAACGTACTTGTTGCCCTTGTGCGTTTCAGGGAATGGGCCTGCAATGTCAACAGCGATTCTTTCTAATGGCAGTCCAACGTTATATTGTTTCATTTTTCCCCTAGATCGACTGCTTGGTCCTTGGCTGGCTGCACAAATTTTACATTGTCTACACCATTTCTTGACATCTTCGCAATAATCCACCCAGTAAAAGCGATCTCTCAGCTTGCTCAAGGTCTTGTTTACCCCAAGATGGGCTCCAGTTTTACCACCGTGAATTTCTTCCAATACCTGGGTAACTTTCTTCCTTGGTACCAGTAACTGAGCTGTTACTGCGCTGCCATCCGCACTTTCCCATGTGCGCTTTAACAATGCATTCTCAATAACCAGTGAATTCCACTGAGCCCAGAGAGCTTTGAAAACGAGCCCTCTGTCCGCAATATCCTGCCACGGTGGTCTCTCGCCGTTACCTTCCTTGAGCCGTAGTACTGCTCCGATGTCTGGATCTTCCATTTGATCTTTCCTCAATTGTGTCGTCGTCCACTGTTCATCGGTTCCAAGTTTAAAACTCCTTATCATGACAGTGCCTTCACGTTGTTCCGTTTTACAGCAGTGCTTACAATCGGTTTGACAGGGTCTTCTGGATAAACCGTCTGCGTTACCATGCATTTTTCCAGCACGATGTTGGATGGTAAAGTGATACTGTTGGAGCTTCTCGAGCCATCGTGCTATTTGACCTTCAGGTTGTTTCATCTCCATAAGCCACTTGAGAGCCGCATGATCTGTCCTAATTAAAAATTCTTGGCCGTACAGATATTTATGAAAATGATCAACTGCCTTCACAATTGCTAGCAGCTCCTTCCGGGTAACGCAGTAATTCCTTTCTGGTTTGGATAGAACTCGACTGTAATATTCTATCACTCGTTCTTCGCCATCTTGCACTTGTGATAGCACTGCACCTATGCCGATATTGCTGGCGTCGGTATCCAGGATATACCTCCCTTGTTGTTGCGGGTAGGCTAGAATAGGACTTGAACATAAAGCCGCCTTAAGTCTTCCAAAGGCTACATCACAATCGGTGTTCCATTCGTAGCCGACTTCATCACCTGTAAGTCTATGTAAGGGTGCAGCTATATTGGCAAATCCCTTGACAAATCTTCTGTAATAGGTGCATAAACCCAGAAAACTTCTAAGTTCATGTTTGTCGCGAGGTTTAGGCCAATCCTTGATTGCAGCGATTTTCTTCTGGTCAGTGTAAATTCCGTCTGCTGAGACTACATGGCCCCAAAAATTCCACTTGTCGCTGGAATAAGCTACACTTCTTCGGGTTCAAGTACAGGTGAGCATTCCGTATGCGGCCGAAGACTTCTTCTAGATTTCGCAAATGCTCCTCAAAGTTCTTCCCATAACCAATACATCGTCGAGGTAAACCAAGCACGTTTTCCAAGTTAATCCTCTTAACACCACCTCCATGAGACGTTCGAAAGTGGCTGGAGCATTGCATAATCCAAACGGCATGACCTTGAATTGGTATAGTCCGTTTCCTGTAGAAAAGCCGTCTTTTCTTTTGTCTTCCTCGTCCAGACCAACTTGCCAGTATCCACTCTTTAAGTCGAGAGTGGAGAACCAGCACGAACCTGCCAGTGTGGTTAACGTGTCGTCTATACGTGGCAGTGGGTAGCTGTCCTTCTTAGTGACGTCATTGAGCTTCCGATAGTCCACGCAGAATCGTGTACTACCATCTTTCTTCGTCACCAAAACAACAGGAGATGACCATGGACTTGATGATTCTTCGATTACTCCCTCTTCTAACATCTTATCTACCATTGTCTCCATTTCTTGTTGTTTGGAAAGGGGAACTCTTCTAGGACGTTGTCGAATCGGCTGAGCATGACCAGTATTAATCCGGGCTTCACAAAATCCGTTCTTCCACTGTTATTTTTCTCAAAAATACCGCCATGCTTTCGCAGGAACTGCTTAGCCTTCTGTTTCTCCTCATATGTTAGGTGATCCCATGGCTGTTCTAGATGTTTTAGTGTTTCTTTGGATGCCATTTGTGTAACAGCTGACGACACTTCATCACATCGGGTGACACTTCTTACAGGTTCGCAGATGGCTATCTTGTCACCTTTTTGAATCTTGACACAATTCGGGAAAACATTCGCAATTCTGATCGGTATATTCTTGTCGGTGTTCACCAATGACTTTCCTACTAAGTACCTATCTTGTTTCTTGTCGCCACTTTTTACCAGTCCAACACAGCACCCAGCGATTTTCTCCACTTTACCGAATACGATCTTCTCGGTATTACCAGGTATCACCACAGTTTCCGCTGATCTTACATCCATTCTGCCTGGTCCCTCGTCTGGAGATAACATGAACTCTTCATATCCAATATTTAAGATATTTCTCTGGTGATCGAACGAAAATCCATGTTGACGAATCATATCCATGCCCAAGATGAAGTCATCTTCAATATCTGCCACTAAGACGCTATGCTGAAACTTCAAATTTCCTAACTTCAGTTCGACGATAGCCTTTCCCCGTGCAACGGCCATTTCCCCCGTAACTGTACGTAAACACACTCTTCTTCCCAGAGACATCAGCTTCAATCCTTGCACTGAGTTAGCCCGCACCAACGATACCATAGCGCCAGTATCCACAGTCATTCGAATTCCCTTTCCATTGACTTTCCCGTCGATCACCAAGCTGTCAGCGGTTGTTCCTAGACTCCTAATGGAAAAAATCCTGGGGGCTCTGTTCTCCCCAGTCAATACTCGCCCCTTAGTATTGACTGATTTTAGTTTTCCTGGTGCCTACGTTCTCTGGATGGTGAACGGGATCGCATTTGAACGCGGCAATCCCGTTTGATGTGGCCATTCCTGCCACATCTAAAGCACCTTATGTCCTGGAATCTTCTCTGGTTCTCTGTCTGGGTGTTGTTGACTCCCTTGTTTATTAGTAGCTCACATAGTTTGTCGACTTTCTTACACATCTCCTCCAAACCTCTGTGAGTGCTTTCGGGCTGTTCCTCGACCGTTACCGATCTTATCTTCGGCCTAGGGATGGCGCTAAAGGCAGCTTCGATTTCCAGCGCCCTGACCAGTGCTTCGCTGCTGGTGGAAAATCGGGATATTTGCAGCGCCCTCTGTAATTCGTTGTCCCTCAGTCCGCTGATAAAGCACTGAGCAGCGAGTTCCTCCCTAAATCCTTCCGGTGCTTCTGGATATGCCAGGTGTACCAGCCGACGTAAGTCTGCTTCAAATTCCTGCAGACTCTCTCCGGACCTCTGCAGGCGTGTCTTGATCTGTGCCTGGTAAAGTTGGCGTCGATGTTGGTCGCCATATCTTCTGTCCAGTGCAGCGACCAAAGTTTGATATTCCTGCTGTTGGGCTGCAGGAATAGTTGCAGGAGTTCCAGGGCAGGGCCACGCAGCGCGATGACAAGTGCCGCTGCTTTCTCCTGGTCAGTCCATCCATTGGCAGCAGCCGCTGCTTCAAACTGGCGGTGGTACATCGTCCAGGTGGTTTGTCCATCGTAGGTCGGGGCCTTGAGGTTCGCAGTTCCATGAACGCCAGGTGTCTTTACTTGTACCTTGGTCTTCTGTAGGTCCATCTCCAATCTTTCTATCTTCTGCTGAAGGCGCTCCTCCAGATCTTCTACAGCTTCTTGGAAGTGGTTCTGTTGTTCCTGGCAACGTACTTCCAACATTGATTGTTGCTTTTTTTCCATTTTTTCGAAACTTTTCTTGATACGGTCCTGCTCTTCAAGCTTTTCTTCTTGTCGACGCACTTCAAAACCTTGTAAAATTTTCTCGATCCGGTCCTGTTCCTCTTGTCTTTCTTTTTGATGACGCGCCTCTAAGCCTTCCAGAATTTTCTCAAGCCGGTCCTGTTCTTCTTGTTTTTCTTTCTGGCGACGCACTTCTAGATTTTCTACAATTTTCTCCAACCGTTCTTGTCTGATTTCTTGATTCTCCATAAGCATTTTCTGTAGTTGGTCTTGTTCTTCTTGACGTCGTAATTTTTCCTCTTCCTTTTCTCTTTCTAATTTCTCCATAAAATCGCCCAATAATTTGCTTACTTCCTCCATTTTCTTCGCTTGTTCCCTTGTACCAACCATAAAAATACTCTAATTCGGTCTAAAAATCTTCCAATCCACTTAATTTCTTCTTAAAATCCTCTTGAATCGCACTTCCGACACCAATTGTTACGGATTCCGTGGGTCCACTAATTAAAACTCACGATAAAATACTTAACGAATTTATTTTTCTCACTTTATACACAATTACTAACTTATAACACACAACAAACTAACTATTTATAAGATTCCTTCACCAAATTGTCCGATTTTCAATTTCCACGCGGTATATTCAAATTTCAAAAACTTTCTCAGTTGTCGATGGCTCCGGCTTATATACTCTATTGACTGCTTCTCGAAATTTCCCCAATTCTCGGAAAGCGTACTTCTTCATACCAGACAATTCTATTGTCTGATTCCCTTACTTCTCGACTTGACTAAAAGATGGCGCCTGAAAAAGTCTTTTAATTTCTGGCGGATACGTTGCGGTTGTGCAGGCAACCAGTAATACATTTTTAATTTCTGGCGAATGCGCCATTTTTCTTGACAATACTAAAAAAATAAGATAAGAAAAAATAAGATTCTGAAAGAAATACTTGTGCTTTTCAGGTATTAATATTACAATACACCCCACGTATTTCAGATAACGGTGATATATTAATCTGCCAGTTTGCATAGTGGGGGTGACCATACGAAGACGTAGAAAATGAGAAAAAAATTATTCGAACGCGTCAAATATTCAAAGGGGTGTTAGGTGAACACTAAAGAAGCTCCTATTCAAACGGCTGACGATTTGGACGAGACCAAAACCCATGGCAGATTTTTTAGAAATACTCAGTTCTCAGCACTACACTTTATTAATTATTTTAGCTACTTCGGCTTGTAAAAATTAACAGATTATATTAATCCAGTGATTTTTGAATATGATATCCTTCAAAATAAAAAATAACCACGCTCGAAAATGTCCAGGAGACGTTTTTTTGCAAATTTGTGACTCCCATTCCCTTATGTCACCCTTAAATTGTCTGATTCTTTAAATGCACACTTTTCTGCGTGTACTACTCGGATCGGCTGCCCTACAAGCACACCCCTGTATAAAAGGTTCATATATGGGTAGGGATAATTAACAGAGTACAAGGTTTCTCCCCTTATTATATTCTGGCGCGTTTGAGTGAATCCTAAAATCCCCGCCTTGGTATCCCTCGTTTGCACACACACCCGCAAAATCGGTGCCGAAGTCGGCGCCGGCTTTGCACCCGTTACGACAGTTGTATTTAATTCTGTTGTATTTGCCGGTCCCCGACTATTTTACCGGATCGGAGTATATGTGAAAGATCTAATTTATTTATATTGCAATCGACTTCAGGTCCGGCACCGGCACCGATTTTGCCGGCGTGTGTGTAAACGCCCCTATACTATATCTCTAATATACAGGATGATCCTAACTGTATTCCGGAAACTTCAGCAGCATATTCTGCAGATAAAAATAAGTAAAAAAGTTCGTATAAATATATGTCATGATAGATGTCTGAAGTAACGTCAATATTTGGATAAAAATTGGTATCTGGGAGTTTTTTGACATGAGAAATTTGATTTTGATGTCAATATGACTCCTGTTTGTAAGGGGCGCCATCTACATGCATGTATTATGTTTTAACTATTTTGAAGAGTAATAACTTTTTGTCCGTATCTGTATAAAACTACTGAGTGAAAAAATATGCATTTCCGTGATTTTCTATGTAAAAATGTCTCTTGGTAAAAATCGCCACGAGCAACCAAATGTTGAGTAGATAGTTATTTGGCTGAAATGATAAATTTGGGAACTTTTTTATATTTTTAAATTAATCATAAAATTTTCTTCGAAAAAATTAACGGTAAGAGGGTTTCTGTTGAACTTTTGAGACAAAAACATTTCAAATTTATGATTTCACTCTAATAACTATGTATTTAGTCAACCTGTTTAATTTGTGAACGATGACGGGTATTGATAATTTCGGTTCCATATTTACTCGTAGCGATTTTTACCAAGATACCTTTTTTACGTAAAAACGTGGCAAATGTATTCTTCATGTGTTTTTTGTTTTTTACTCGGTAGTTTTATACAGGTACGAACGAAAAGCTATTACACTTCAAACCAGTTAAAACATATGTAGGTGGCGCCCTCTAGAAGTAGGAGTATATTGACATCAAAATCAAATTTATCATGTCAAAAAAATCCCAGACACCAATTTTCATCCAAATATTGACATTACTTCAAAAATTATTTGAAAAAAATCGAAATAAAAATGAAATTTCTACACCCTGTATCTCCGAAACTAAGCATTTTAGGAAGTACATTTATACGAACTTTTTACTTATTTTTATGTGCAGAATATGCTTCCGAAGTTTTCGAAGTACAGTTCGGACCATTCTGTAGATCTTGACTAATTTGAGAAAACCTACAAAATTAAACGGCATTGTCCTAGCAACTTTTAACAACGAATTGGAACAAAAAAGGTAAATCTCAAAAACGAAACAGTTTTATAAAGTAAACATTTAGGACTAAAACATTTTGTGAAATAAGCAAAATGGATTTTTCAATTTTTTTATGCGTACTGATATACACTTTGTAACGTAAAATAAATAGAAATTATTAACACTAAGTCTGAGTTAAAGTTGGGAGCCGCATTAAAAAATGAAAATTTAAAGCTGTTTTACTTCAGCACAATGATAATACCTAAGTATTTTCAACCAACCAAACATTGAACTATCAACGATTTTGATACAAGAGAATACCAATATAGTAGTCACAATCTCATGTGTGAATGAATTATTCACGCTTTAATAACTACAGCTCATGAATAAATTGTGTAGCTTAGGATGTTTATTTTTAATATCTACCTTAGTCATATAACTATCCCAAAATATAACTAACGAAATAAGAATGACGAATAATTCAATAAACCGTTTTCTCTTGACTAGTAACAGCTTCAAACAAATGTTAACTTGAGTTCATTTTTTATAGGAAGTACCCACCAACTTCATGGTTCAACCTTTAATATAGATTGCAACACCTGCAGCTGTTATGCCGGAGAACTTATTTGTAGTAAAAAGCAGTGCGAAAGTAGTGCTGTTGGTGGACGAAACACTGCATACACTACACTGCCTTGCAACTGTCCTCCCCATTATGTTCCAGTTTGTGGAAGAAATGGTATTACTTATTCTTCAGCTTGTTTGGCTAAGTAAGTATTAATCCTATCAAAAACATCAAATCCCGCAGCGCAGATCTTTCACTACAAAAATTTGTGAGATGTCATGATGTAAAATCAAGGCAGTTATTTGAGTTAATGTCGTTGATATAAATTATTATACACGATGAGTCTTAAATAAGTGCAAATATTTTCAGGTTTCAGGGCTGGTATATTTCGACCCCCGGAACACGTCTATGAGTTTTTTTTTCACAAAAAAAGATGTTGAAAATCGTGCATTTTCTTTTAAATTTCCCTGTATATTTTTCGAAAACATTTTAGAACTGCCTGTTCACCGCAAATTTTCCCACGGTATAATTTCTTAATCTCTGATATTACCATAGTTACAGCTTTACTCTATGGTCACGGCACTAAAAGGGAGGCAATTACAGAAAAAATCCGGTGGCTCTCAAATTTTAAAAAAAAAATCATTTTTTTTAATTTTCAAACTTAAATAACTCGGTTATTTTAGACTTATCTGAAAAATGGTAAAGAGAAAATATGTTTCTTTTATCGAGATCTACCAGCCCTGAAAATATTAGCAGTTATTTAAGACTCACCATGTATAATCAATTTGTCCTATCAACATTTATAGTGCCTGTATCAATATTAGATATCTTTATTTCTATAATAATTATAATGACTTGGTAACTGCACGAAAACAATTTATTCTGCTTATTAAAATAATATATTCTTAAATTCACTGTTTAAATTTACTTAGTAATTAGCTCGGTAATTAGGATTATGGTACCGTGTACCGTGTTACTACCAAGGCTTTATAAAATTATTATAGAATTAAAGTTAATAAGTTTATATTAGACATTTCTTAATTTTATTAATATACAGGATGCATATTTAAATTCTCTATAAAATTTTATGAATTTTGATAATAAACATTCTACCGGGTGCGTCTCAAAAGTGGCTCACCCCTATAACTTTTATATTTTTTCTGATAAAAAAAAACAGATTTGGTATGTCAGTATATGACATTAAATAGGATTGATTAACATATTCAATTGTTTTTGGTCACTTCCTGTTTCACCGGAAATGACTACAACTTTTGATTTTTAAATGGCACCCTCGATATGTTTCTACTTTATTTGATAGAAAAAGACACTCTGAATAGAATGACATTTCATATGTCAACTTTTAACATTTTCGCATATGGTTTATTTGAAATTGTAGCATGCGGTTCATAACGACAACTTGACTCGAAATACCAAGTGTATGGTGCCAAATGATTCGTTAAAAATTGTTTTTTCTGAATATGCTAATGAGCCCCCTCGTTCCATTTGAAAAAATCGAAATATGATTAAAAATACGATTTGGCCATCTCATAACCGGCCAGGACAAGACACGAACAATATTAGACGATCAAAACTATTTTTCCAAGGCTCCTTGATTAAAAATTAGTGTTTTTAGCACAGTCACACTCTAGATTGAAATTTACAATATGATTTTTTTAAAGCGAAAATTCCAAAAGTTGATATGTCATTCTATTCAGAATGTCATTTTCTATCGAATAAAGTAAAAAAATACCCATGGTGCCATTTAAAAAACAAAAGTTATAGTCATTTCCGGTGAAACAGGTAGTGACCAAAAACAATTAAATTCCGTCAATCAATCCTAATTTATGTCATACCCTACTGGCAAGCGAAACTTTGGGTCGGCATTTAAATGTATAAGAGTGAATTGCTATGGCATTCTAGTCAGTCGGAGAGAGCAAAAATACGAAGTATTTATTACATATAATCATTTAATTTGTCGCTAGATTTCATGGGCTTGGAATACTTGCCTTCTATCTTTATTCAGTACATCTTATTTTACTAAGCGTGTTGACAGTACTCTTCGTACACACGAAAATCGGCACCCAAAGACCAGAAATGCCGGCCCTTAGTATACTAACATACCAAATCTCGTTTTTTATCTGAAAAAATAAAAAAGTTATAGGTGTGAGCCACTTTCGAGACGCACCCGGTATATCTAACATTAACCGTTTTTGAGGAAAAAAAAATTAAAAAAAAATTACGTGTGCATTATGTGCGCATGTAATGATATATATTGAAGTGCGCATATATTATATCATATATATTGAAGTGAAACTTCTTACTAACGGCTATTAAATTGAAGGACATGTTTGAAAAAGTATAGTCTGAAATGTTGAAAAAGTAATAAATTAGAAATTAATAAATAATCTGATTCGCTTTTAGAAAATTTGTATTAAAATGACCGTTTGTCCGTCTGAGGACTCAATTCGGGTAGCCGTGTCCATGTGTCGAGTTTGGTCCAATTAATATTATGGGTCCAATCGACCCACAATTAAGGAAAATCCTGATGATTTTGCCCATTTAGAGGGTGTCATTGTGGTGTCATCCTATAGCCCGTCCCCAATTATACCGAAATCGACTCACATTTTTCTTCAATATGAAATCCTTAGTCCCACCCTGATGAATATGTAAACGAAACGTAGTATCCAACTTTGCAGGGTGGGACCGTGTACCTACACCGTCGATCACATAGCCTACTCACCAAATTTGATCGCGATCGGACGAGATGAACTTTTGACGTTCCTTACGTCAAAATTAACTACCACAATGACATATGTAGTACACGGTCAAGTTTTTTTCGCCATTGATGGTAGGGTTTCATAGTACACGAAAGGTCGTCAAAATAGCATGAAAAGATGGGACTCTTTGAGCCCACCTACATTCAGAGTTTCAGCCCCTAGATCACATAAATTATTAATTACGACGCTCCAAAGACCCATCTCAACTTTTCGATACCACTTACGTGTCATCTCACTAGCTCGTGCGTCACGGTTTTGAATTTTTACTCCCGGCACGCGTTAAGAAGTTTACTTCAACAATCTATACTAATATATAAAATCCTTAAGTGACATACTGATTAATCACGATCCTTCTCAAACCACTCAACGTAAGAAGCTCAATTTTGTCATACGGGTTGATTCTAGGGTGTAGAGGTTCGATAAGAAGGGATTTTTCGAAATTCCAATTTCAAGAGGGTGAAACCACCCCTCAAATATTACAATATTTTTTATTTAAAAAACGGTCAAGTTTCCGAAAAAACGCTTAATCACGTATATTTTATTTTGTTTTTACATATTTTAAGATTTTTTAAAAATCTATACAGTGTGTTTCGAAAAATCTGGTCATTGATTAATCACGATCTTGCTTAAAGCGCTTGACGTGAAAAGCTAAAAGGGGGTGGAACTATCCTTCAAATATTAAAATATTTTTTATTTAAAAACGTATATTTTATTTTGTTGTTTTACATATTTTAAGATTTTTTATAAATTTATACAGGGTGTTTCATAAAATATGACCATTGAGTAATCACGATTCAGCTTAAACTGCTTGACGTTTAAAGCTGATTTTTGGCAAACGATTTTCCGAAAGTCAAATTCCAACGAGATGAAACTACCCCTCAAATACTACCAAGTTATATAATAATATCGCCATATTGTTTTTTCTCATGCTGGCATAAATGTGAGAAATTTTTATCCAGTTTGTATGTTAATGGAAATTCTTGCTTTGCTTTATCATCACCATTACAAATGATTAATTCGACGCGAACAAAGTCGCTGGCACACGCTAGTAATGAAATAAAATTTAATTTTTTAAAATTAAATAAATTCTGGTTATTTGTAAACAGACTGGGATAAAAATGTTATCGTTTACTACATTTCATGTAAGCATGTTACCACTTTTCGTTACCACTAGCTCGTGTGTCACGGTCTTGAATTTTTACTCCCATCGCGCGTAAAGAAGTTTCACTTCAAAAACTATTTAGTATATAATTTTGTTTATAATTATTCTTTAGAGTATTATGAATATTTATTTTAGATGTGCAGGATTAAATGATGCCGATATAGAACTTCTACCTTGTCAAAATCCATGCAAGCAAAATGTTTGTCCTATAGGACAAAAATGCGTTCCCAAATACCAGACGTGTTTATCTTTAATGCACAAGCCGTGCAAGCAGTACGAATGCAGTAAGTATAATGACTACCAAAGAATATACCTAGCTAGAAAAAGAATGGACTCTGTCATACTGAAAAATGGTCCTACAGAAGTGGCGCTATCTATTGAGTAGGGCTTGTTTTAAATGGATCGTAGCGCGGGCTTTTTAAATGAGCGTATTTATTGAATTTTACTCTAAAATATATAATTAAATTTGATTATTAAATCTTATTTTTTACACAAATTCAACAATACTAATAACAAGTATTGTTGTGATGTGTAAAAAATAAGATTTAACAGTATAATTTATACAATTATTAAATAAAATTAAAGCCAAACATGTGTAAATGTTATTTATTATTTAAAGTTTTTATTTATAAATCAAATATTTAAACATCGTTTATTATAATAAAACAAGACCAACATAATACGCCCAAAGTTTTGTAAATGGAGTAAATATAAATATGTACTTAAATGACAAAAATAAAAGACTTACATTATATTTTCAGGGCCACAAACAAAAGGAATTGTCTAATTAAAACACATATAACAAATTATAGTTTGAAAAACGTTTTGATAATCATTTGATAATATCATGATAATTTGATGATAATATTATGATTGGCGCTATGACAACGACAATATTTTTTGAGAATTTGACAATAGTATGACAATGGCCGTTGGAAACTATGGAAACTACAAAAAAATTCTGATTTAACGCCATCTGGCAATAACTAGTAGCAACTTCTTAACCTAAAAATTAATTGCACTACCACCTAGCGCCTGAGGCTGGAACTATTTTATTTGAAATTTCCGTGGAAACGGTGGAACCGCTTTTGCTATTTCATTTTCCCGCCCCTGATGACTACCATTCGACATCTGAATTGAGAGATGCCAAATGAAAACTTCAATATTGGTTGTGTATTAATGTTTTATTTTTTCTAGTAAATGGATCAGCAATTTGTTCGAATTTGGAAAATGAGCCAGTATGCGATGTTGAAAATCAACAATATAATAATTCTTGTTCTTTATCTCACCATAATGCAAAACTCGCATATCGGGGCCCCTGTTTAAATAAATGTCAACGGACCGGACAAGTAAGTTAATGGATTTTTTTTAAATTAAATCGTTTTCCAACCTCCTCTATATAACTAGACTATAGGTATGTAATATAACTAGAGACACACTCCTCTTCTATAGTTTAACTATCTTTACCATAGAATTCTATGTAGTTCGTTTGTCATTTCAGCAAGAAAATTTCCTAAAGACATATCTTCCTGCTCAGTCTGAAATTTCTAAAATAACGCTATCTGTATAGATAATAGTGACGTGTCGGTATTTGAGTAACGCGATTTTGGATCGATATTTTTTGTAACGTCGCCGTCGTGTCGCGTTTCACAACGAACCAGGAACCTGTTACTGAAGAACGACGATCATAACAACGACGAAATTATAAATTATTTATAATTTGCTAATAAATGATTTATAAGCGCTCTTGGAATTGGCTCAAACCGCAGTAACCGATAATGACGTGTATGGCTGGACGCTGGACGGCTGGACAACCCTAGGATGGCTGGTCGCGGTCCTAGGGTTGCGAACAGTAGTAACTGGTACCTGCATAGCGACTCGCGACGTGTTCAGCCGTCGCGCTCCTAGAGTCACGTATTCGTCTGTCGCTGAGAGATATAATATATCTCTCCAGTTACATATAATGTAACTGGTAACGACCTATACCGCGACGTGTTTCGCTCCAGTGCCAGTGGTCGCGCGACTGCTGGAGCGCTCCTAGGGTCGAGTTTTCGTCTGTCGGGTTTTGGTCGGTCGTTGTTGGCGTTCGTTGATGCTTCCGTTTACAGTCGTTACGTTACTTTCGAGACCGCGATTTTTTGGTAGGTCTAGGTACTAAGCATTTTTAATTGATAATAAATACATGCTAGTTGCATTAGATAGTTACAATTATACATTTAGTCTACTTTTAATTGATTAAAAACATATTCCCAAATAAAGTTATATATTCTGCAAAGAAGAAAATTGCATTTTACTAACACACGGGAATAAAGTAAGACTAATTTTATTTTGATTATCTGACATGAACATTTTACTTCCAAGTTTTCCACCAATTAAGAATATACGTAGATAAAAACATACACTTAGATGAAAAAAAATAATATTAGCATATGGCGTAGGTATCTCGAATAATGGTTCAAATTATATTACTTTTTATTAGTTTAAGCTAAAATATTTCTAAAGTATAAGCATATTTTAAGAAAAAAGATAGAAAAATATAATTATCTTACAAATGTATGTATTTTAATTTAAATTCTAACGGTTATAACGTGTATCAGAAGAATATAAATGTAAATATTATTGGGAAAAATATAAAACTTATAAAAAACTATTCTTCAGGCTGAAGAAAAGATGACGAATAAAAAAAGTATTGAATACCAATAAATTATATTATTTTATATTTTTTTTACAAACATAACTAAATTCTTCTAGCCATCTGCATGTTGTTTATTGTTTACAAATTGTTACTGTTTATTATTTTGCACGGACACAGCTAGGGATAACGGCAGAGATGGGAGATGGAAGTAGGTATAGGTGCAGTGACCAGAAATACCGCATAGGCGGGAACAACGACACTTTGGAAGCCGGAGCTTCGGTTACAAAATCGCAGTATTTTGTCGCGGTATTTTTCTGGAACGGTCGATATTGAAACGCGACTCATGTGGATCCGGTATTCCCATCAGTAATAGATAACGCTATCCCCGAGCTTTTCCATGTAGCTATACAGGGTGAGTCTCAAATAAGTGCAAATATATTTAGTGGTAAGTATATTTCGACCCCAGAAACACGATTATGAGGTTTTTTCGCAAAAAAAATTGAAAATTTGGAATTTTTTGAAAAAAAATTTGGATTTTTTTTTGTGTTTTTAGTTGAAAAACATAATTCGTTGATAATATGATAACATAGGTAGTAGATTAAATTTACAACTAAGAAAATCCAGAAAAGATCCAGTGGTTCTCAAAATTGTAGCAAAAAAACATTTTTTTTTTAATTTTCAAAGTAAAATAACTCGGTTATTGTGGATTTATTTGAAAAACGATAAAGAGAAAATATGTTTCTTTTATCGAGATCTACCAGCCCTGAAAATATTTGCATTTATTTAAGAGTCACCCTGTATAACATAAGACGTGCTTGTGCGGTAGTGTAACCAGCCAAACACACATAAACCGCTGGTAGAATATCGTACGATTCATATTTGAATCGCCAGGTTACGAATAAAGTATCATGACTTATGGGTTGTATTGAATTAATATCAATTGAAGGGCATTGAAGCATTGAATTGTTCTAATTTGACCCAAAATAAAGTTATAAGAGCTTTTCCAAGTTGTCCAAGTTTGCCCCTTCTTTATCAAAATGTTCCTTAATATACAGGGTGTCCCAGGCTGAGCGTGCATTAGAAGTTTCTAGAGAACTACAACATCTAGCTCGGAGATTTTTTGCACATCATAGTTTCACAACGAGGTCTATCGATTAAAAATATTTTCAATATGGCGGCACTTCCGGAAATACCGGAAGTTGACAGCAACTTTCTTATTTTAAATGGGTGCCCCCATTTTTTATTATGTACTTAAATTTTCTGTAAAATTTTATGACCTTTTGATATTAAACACTCTATATCTAACATAAACTATTTTTGAGGAAAAAAATTATTGTAATTATTAAAAAAAAACTTCCTGTTAAAAATATGTATACAACCTAAACGTCAAATTTAGTGATTACCACAGCCACTGTGCTATAAAGAGAAAACATGTGGCTATCTATTTCAAAAATTAAATTGTTTGAATGTCATATAATAATGGCCGCAGCTGTCATAGAATTGAACAATTAAAAAATTTTCATAAATTATTTTTTTCAAATGGAAACCCACTTTTTTTATTTCACTAGTGAAAAAGCTTTTCAACTCGTTACTTTTTAACTATACATGTTCCTATACCTAAATTAAATCGTTTTTATGTTATTTAAGATTTAGTTTTAAATCCTATATTTTTCTTGATTTTAACCAGTAGCCTATGACTTTAAACGTCAAGTGAGGTAAAACAATAGATCTGACCATTTCATATTGTGACGCTTTGTTCAATAAGCAGCATTATTTTCGAGCCAACTTTGCGCTGTTTTTTTTTCGATCATATGGAATATTATTAATAATATCAACTATTAGATATCACTAAAGAGCGAAAATATGAGATATAGTTTTATAAATACACTTTTTAAACCCTTAAGGCAGGCAGTATTTATACTATAATTACGGAAATTCAAATAATTCGTTTTCTGCCAGATGGAAATAAATTGTCTGATCGTTTGACACTTAATGTCAAAGGAATAATCTAAATAAAATCGAGAAAAATATAGGTTTTCAAACTCAATCTTAAATAACTTAAAAACGATTTTAGGTATAGGAACTGTTTAGTTAAAAAGTAACGAATTGAAAAACTGTTCAATTAGTGAAATAAAAATAGTGAGTTTTTATTTGAAAAAAATGATTTATGATAATTTTTCAATCACTCAATTCCATGACAGCTACCGCCATTATTATATGACATTTGAACAATTTACTTTTTAAAGTAGATAGCCGCATGTCTTCTCTTTATGTCACAGTGGCTGTGGTAATCACTAAATTCAACTTTTAGGCTATACAAATTTTTTTGACAGGTAGTTTTTTTCGACCAAAAATTTTAAATATTTTTTTTTTCAAAAACGGTTAATGTTAGATATAGAGTGTTTAATATCAAAATTCATAAAATTTTACAGAGAATTTAAGTATGTAATACAAAATGGGGGCACCCATTTAAAATAAGAAAGTTGCTGTCAACTTCCGGTATTTCCGGAAGCGCCGCCATATTGAAAATATCTTTAATCGATAGATCTCGTTGTAAAACTATGATGTGCAAAAAATCTCCGATCTAAAATTGTGGTTCTCTAGAAACTCCTAATGCACGCTCAGCCTGGGACACCCTAAATATCTTTATCTATTTATTTTTAGGTTTGCGGAATAAATGGAAAAACGTACTCTTCAGAATGTGCCGCATTTGCTGATATGGTCTCTGTAGATTATGAAGGGCGTTGTTCTGCTATTGGATTGATAACAAGTTTCAAAGCGAAACAATGTTCAAATGTAAATTGTCCCAAACTGCCGAATCAGAATTGTTTAGGTAACGTCAAAGTACAGCATGGTCAAAAAGAATATATGGTAATCGCAAAACAATTTCCGATGCGCGTGATCAACTTTGAGTGACAAGCGATGGCGACAGCGGTGCCAGATCGTGATGGATTTTTGAAATGCACAAACTAATAATCACAGAATTTAATAAAAACTAACTTTGAAAGTGGTATAATGTGCTTATCAATCAAACTTACTTTCCCGGCTGCAGTCAAGGGTAATAAAGGACCTTTATTATCACGTTCTCGTTCAAAATAGTTAAAAAAAAACAGGAAAGCTACAAGCTCTTTACTTCGACTGTTTAAATGCTTCGGCATATTTTCAACACCTAATTTCAAGAAATGCAATACAAAAACTCGAAAATTTAGTTCTTAAAAGAACTGTTTGTGCTTAAAAGTGCAATTTAAAAAAAAAATGTATGAAAATAGGTATAAAAACGAGAATTACTCACAAAGATTCAGCAATAACACGATATTGTACAAAATAATGACTGACACTATGATAATTGTCAAATAATAAAGGACAACATTGCTGAACCCGGCGCAATGTGACCAACATAGCAATAATAAAATTCGGTTTAAACTAATTTTTGCAGGTTTAATCTAAATAAAATATATGTTACAATAATTTGTTCTATAAAGTAAAATGAAGAGCTGCCCGGTATCTTAAATTATATAACAAATTTAAACATGTTTACCAAAATTTCATTTAGTCAGGTTTATAGACTTTATATAGTGTCAATGTCGATATAATTGATGACGTGCATCGGAAAATGTTTTGCGGTTACATTAATAATTGTATTATTCCAAATCAAACGACCTTCGCATTCACAGTTCTGGCTTTATAATTCAAACTTAATTCCAGAATTAACATTACTCCTAAAGCCGGTCCTACACGATGTGGCAAACACCTTCCAACGTTGGACACACGGACATTTGCCACATCGTGTGGAAAACACACTTGCCAAGTATATACAGGGTGGTCCGAACTGTATTACGGAAACTTCGGCAGCATGTTTTACTGATAAAAATAAGTAAAAAAGTTCATATAAATATATGTCCTAAAATGCTTAGTCTCGGAGATGCAGGTTGTAGAAGTTTCATTTTTATTTCGATTTTTTGCAAATAATTTCTGAAGTAACGTCAATATTTGGATGAAAATTGGTGTCTGGGAGTTTTTTAACACGAGAAATTTGATTTTGATGTCAATATGACTCCTATTTGTAGGGGGCGCCACCTACACGTGTTTTAACTGTTTTGAAGGGTAATAACTTTTTGTCCGTACCTGTATAAAATTACTTTGTGAAAAAATATACATTTGCGTGATTTTCCACGTAAAAAATGTCTCTTGGTAAAAATCGCTACGAGCAACCGTTCTCAAGATATTTACAATGGAAATAGTCAATACATGTCATTATTAACAAAAAATAAGTCAGTTGAGTAGATAGTTATTTGACTGAAATGAGAAATTTGGGAATTTTTTTTTTTTTGAAACTAATCATAAATTTTCTTCGAAAAAATGATGATAAAACAGTTTCTGTTGAACTTTTGGCACAAAAACATATCAAATTTATGATTTTAGTCTAATAACTAATTAGTCAACATGTTTAATTTATGTCAATGATGACAGGTTTTGGTAATTTCGATTCCAAATATCTCGAGTACCATTACTCGTAGCGATTTTTACCAAGAGACTTTTTTTACGTAAAAAACATCGTAAATGTATATTTTTTAATTAGCCAGTTTTATACAGGTACGGGCGAAAAGTTATTACTCTTCAAACCAGTTAAACAATACGTAGGTGGCGCCCCCTACAAGTAGGAGCCATATTGACATCGAAATCAAATTTCTCATGTTAAAAACCTTCCAGACACCAATTTTCATCCAAATATTGACGTTACTTCAGAAATTATTTGGAAAAAATCGAAATAAAAATGAAACTTCTACACCCTGTATTTCCGAAACTAAGCATTTTAGGACATACATTTATATGAACTTTTTTACTTATTTTTATCTGCAGAACATGTTACCGAAATTTCCGGAATACAGTTCAGACCACCCTGTATATATTGTATAACATTGTCGAAAACTGTGCCAAAATTGTAGGGTTTAGATTGGAGTTTTACAGCTTTGTTGTTTTTTTTGCTCTTCTAAGAATACTAATCAACTGCCTATACATAGCGAAACGCGTCTCCAGTCTTCAAAGTAAAGTTGTTTTTTATGAAATGTAACGACATATCGTTTTGCTGTTATATTTATATTCATTACTTAACGGCAAAGGTTCGAACCTTAACTGTATAGTTGATAGATTATCTAGTTTTTGTATTAACGAAAATAGGATACGTGGATATAGATCACCTATATCCACGACAGAAAAATTAACAAAATAATATTTTAGGAATTACGCCACCCGGAGCATGTTGTCCACTTTGTGGTGGAGCTTTAAGACTGCTTTATAGCAGAAAACAAATAGATCGAGCCCTGTACGCTTTGCAGAATAAAAGCACTGAAGCTGTTAATTTAAGATCACTTCTGAAAGGTCTTGAACGACAGATCCAGTTGGCCCAATGTACAGTAAGAGGGTATGTCACTGTAGAAGCTGATATTTTTCTTACTGTACAGTCCATGGAAAGGTGAGTAATAATAACCAAATTGACAGACAATCACGTAGCTAAAATATTTTTTATATATTTTAGGTACCCATCTGCATTACAACTGGAGGCTTGTATACGGGAGGCTGAAAAGATAGCAAGTCTGGTCAATTTGCAGAGTCCTCGAATAGCAAGCGAACTTAGCCTAAGTTCGTTAACTTTAGCAACATTAGTTCATACAGATATAAGTACTAGTAAATCTCAGCCAAACATACCAAATATATATTTAGTAATTATGATGACTGCGGTTCTCAAAATAAGTATTTACGTATTTTAACTATAAACCTACAAAGCCGATTAATATTTTGCAGAATTATTACTTAAATAAATAGTCTTTAAAATAAGGCATATCGTCAGTGAAACGCGTGTTAACCTAACTCCATTTTACATTACTTAAATAATACGTTTAATACATAATTTTACCTTAAATTTTTAACGAAATATTGAGATGTATTGTTCCCCAACAAATACATTTTGCTACGCATGAATATACTTGCTACATGTGTGCATATTTTTGCACCGTTTTTTTGCTCTCCTATAAAACTAGGAATAACGGAGTTTAACTGTTTAACACATTTCACCGACGATAACATGACGTACTGAAATTTTTGTCCTTGATATAAAGTTAAAGTGGTTACCCCAAGTGTTTAAAAAAAAATATTTTGTAGCGCAGATCAAAAAGACTATAGATAATCTTAACCTCTGTCTTTACTTTATTGATGGTAACTTCATAAGAATGGATTCAACAGGATATACAATAGACAATGTATAGATATTTACAACTATAGAGGGTGTTTCAAAAAACATGTGCCTTCTTTCCGTGGGAGATTCCTCATGTAAAAATAACATTTATTTTTTATATCAACATAGATCTGATTCCAGATTCAGCTTTGTTTCGTAGCTAAAGGGCGTTAAAGTCTTATTTTTTGTTCGATTTTTTTCCTTCCAAGTGCTTTTGGGTGTCCTTCAGCTTTGTTTCGTAGCTAAAGGGCGTTAAAGTCTTATTTTTTGTTCGATTTTTTTCCTTCCAAGTGCTTTTGGGTGTCCAAGTGATTCGAATGAAATTTTAGGGATAAGATTTGGCTACATATTTTAATGCTAAAAAGGTGTCGACAAAATCGCCAGGGATGTGCATTTGGGTTATCACTGGAATATTTTTATCTAAAAAAACATGTGCGCTACTGATTTTTTTTCTCTTAGCAAAATCGTGCAGGCCGTTTAATGCCGATTAAAAGTGATATCTTGATATTTTATCGATTTCGATCTCCCCAGATATCGTTGCGTAGGGTGTCCTTGTAACCCCCTTTAGCTACCAAACAAAGCAGAATTGTTCTATGTTCATATAGAAACTAAATGTCATTTTTACGTGAGAAATCTCCAACACCTCATTTTTCTAAACACCCCGTATAGTTTTAAGGCCATTTTTTTGATTATGTACAGGGTGAGTCTTAAATAAGTGCAAATATTTTCAGGGCTTTTTGAATAAGAAGACTAAGGAAGGAGCATAATGCTATCCATGTATTCATGCATGGTGGGCGGAAAAAGCACTCTAGGGTGGGGATCCATGACAGTTCTGTTTGACAATTCATTTGACACATTTGAACTTGATTTGAAATTTTATGGATTTGTCAGTCTTTACGGAGCTTATTTTATGTTATTTATTATTTATTCTACTACTGATAGTTGTATAAAGGTAGTAAATCTAGATGGAAATTGTGGCAGAACTTAAATTAACAGTGACACTATCGCGATTTATCGAAAAAGACTCTAAAATAGTTGGTTGTGTAGCGTGCGGTAGATCTCAGCAAAAATCGAGTGAAATAATGGAACGACTAGCTAGTAAGTGACTATATAATATATATATACATACGTGTAGTAAACCGATCATTTATGAAATTCACTTAAATTAACTAATTATATATTTTTTCTTGCATTTTTGCTTTTATTTACTACTTGTCAAAGATTAGATGTCAAAGAATTTAGATACGTCAATTTGATTTACCAGATTTACCTGCTTGAGTAGCGTATCGGATGTTTGTGTTAATAAATAATTATTATAACTTATCTATTTTTATTAGAATTATATATTTTTGTAACAATTTTAATAACTACCAACATTTATTCACAACGTCAAATAAAACAACAAATTATTGAGTCTACCCTACATCATAGTTTTACATTTTTTAAATAAAATTAGAACGACACTGATAAACCGGAATTTAAGTCGGCCATATTTGAGGCCTATCGCGGTGTACCTAAGATTTTTGATATGCTCCTTCCTTAGTCTTCTTATTCAAAGTCAGGGCTGGTATATCTCAATAAGAGAAACATGTTTTCTCTTTACCGTTTTTTAAATAAATCCAGAATAACCTTTACTACATTAAAAAAATATTTTTGGCTCAAATTTTGAGAACCGCTGGATCTTTTCTGGATTTTCTTTCTTGTAAAATTTAATCTACTAAAGAAATTTTAAAACATTTTCCAATGCACGTCATCATCTTTGAGTGTCAAGCGATGGCGACAGCGCTGCCAGATTGTGATGGATTTATGAGATGAATCTTAATTTAAAAGTGACAAACAATATATACTTAGTATATAATTTTTTTAAGGCAGCAGCTACCCGCTGTAAATTGAAATAAGTAGAAATAACTTGAAAGTGGTATAATGTGCTTACCAATCAATCTTACTTCTCTGACTACATTCAAGAGTAATAAAGGACCTTTATTGTCACGTTCGCGCTCAAAATATTTTAGCAGGGAAGCTACAAGCGCTTTGCTTTGACTGTTTAAAGGCTTCGGCATATTTTCAATCCACAATTTCAAAAAATGCAGTAACATATCTTGAAAATTTAGTTCTTAAAAGAACTTTTTGTGCTAAGAAGTACAATTTAACAAAAAAAAACTATCAAAAACGGCAAAAAACGAGAATTACTCCCAAAAATTCAACAACACGATATTGTACAAAATAATGACTGACACTAGGATAATTGTCAAATAATACACGACAACATTGCTGAACATGGCGCAATGTGACCAACAAGGCGATAATAAAAATCGGTTTAAACTAATTTTAATCTAATCTACTTTAATCTAAATAAAATATATGTTACAATCATTTGCTCTATAAAGTATAATTAAGAGCTGCTTGGTATTTTAATTTAGTCAACAAATTTAAACATTTTTGCTAAAATTTCATTTACTCAGGTTTATAGGCTTTAGTGTCAATTTCGATGTGATTGATGACGTGCATCGGAAAATGTTTTAAAATTTCTATACCTATATGTTACCATATTATCATCAAATTATGTTTTTTTTTTTATTAAAAACTAAAAAAAATTCCATTCATTTTTTTTTCAAAATATTCTAAATTTTGAATTTTTTTTCCCCGAAAATTTTCCTCATAATCGTGTTTCTGAGGTCAAAATATACTACCCCCAAAAATATTTGCACTTATTTAAGACTCAGCCGATATACATATATGATACAGTAATATTTTGTCCAAAATGTACACAAAAAAGTATATGTCATATGCATTTACTAAATTCGAAAACATGTAGGGACGTAGTACCGTATGATCGAAAAAAAACGGCGTCCAGTTGGCTTGGAAATGAGCATTGATCAAGGTTACTGTATTAGACAAATTGCTTTGTAACTTTTGGACCAATAGGATCGAAGCGGCAACTACGTCACAGGTATGCTAACGTCACAGGTATGCTACAGAACGTGCTACAGAACGTATAAACGTATAAAATCATAGATAAAGGAATAAAAATAAAATGCAACGAACAAAGAGATAAATGGGCAATGTAATAAAGAAAACAAACATCAAACAACTGAAAAAACCTGAAAACTATGGACGCCATACACAATGAATATCGATTCGCAATGCACTCTCGGATTGTCGGCAGTTTTTTTCCCTTTATCTATAGCGGTAGCATACCTGTCACGTAGTAGATGACGTTTCCGATAATGGCGAATCGAGTTACATGGAGATAACCTTATATTTTAATAACCTTGAACATCGATGATATTTCCCACATAAAATGACAGCGATCTTCATTTCATCGCCGTCGCTGACGCCGTTTTTTTACGATTTTAGTTAGATGTATTTTGTAAATTTTAGAAATCCTTAAGACCTATAACTGTTATAACTAGTTTTATTGTGTGGCAGTAAGAACTAGTTTACAACCCAACACATAGTTAACAAAAACAAAGATGGGTTAAGTATGAAACTCTTTGGGGCAATATATTAGAGCGCTAAGTTACAAACATCTCGAAATAATTTATAGAGATATTATCGTAAATTGTTTACAATTGCTTTAATCCAAATATTATCTGTGATATATTGTAAGTTAAGTGAGAATGAATCAAATAGTAGCAGTATAAATATGCTAGAAGTGTAAAAATTAATTATTAAGTCTGAAAAAAAAAGATACATCTATGAAAGAGCATTTTATATATAATACCAAATGATATGCTTTAAACATATATATTTAAACTGAAGCTATTACCATTAGTTTATATATTATTAATCATGACTTGTAAATAACCTACCATGTTCAGTAAATAAAACATTGAGATTACATTAATAACGTTTATTTTATATACCTAATATGCTTTATAACACTATATTAAATTAATATTAAGGACATTCACTCAGATGCAATAAAAATGCAAAGGAAGAATTTTTGGCCAAGTTTAAAATATTATATTTTTTTTAATTTTTAGCCCTATTTCCTTGATTTTTTTAGCAAACTATGTATAAATGTATCAACTTGAATTAGTAAACTCAGTTTATTATAAACTTTAGTATTTGACTTATTATAGAGGGTTAATCCAAGAATTGTTTTTCCCTATCTTTAAAACACCCTGTGCATGAATTTCGTGAGCAAATTTTCGTAACGCATTATTTTTTGTTCAGAACCATGCCTCCTGAATATTTTATTTTTAACTCAAGTCAATACATGCCTTGGTTAATTTTTAAGAGCAAAATGAACGTGCCATGGACACGTGATTCTAATCGAAAAATAAAGTTTTAGGAAAAGTTACTTATGAAATTATTGCACAGGGTGTTTTAAAATTAGTGTAAAAACAACCCTTCAATTAACCCTGTGTAATAAGCCATAATGCTAAAGTTTATAAAGAACTGAGTTTATGAATTAATGTAGATTAGATTTATATACAGTTAGCTAAAAAAATTCATGAAAATAGGGCTAAAAGTAAAAATAATATAACCGTTTAAACCTAAAGAAAAAATGTTGCGTTGCGTTTTTTTGCATCTGAGTTATTATACAGGGTGCTACAAATTCGAGGTACGAGCACTGGTATCTCGGAAACCGTACTAGATATGAAGATGGTTAAATTGGGGCAAAGTTGCGCCTTGGGATGTTCACCAAGATGCCATCAAAAAAGTTTAAAAAATTTCAAGGATTGCTGAGTTTTTTGGAAAAAACTGATTTTTCTCAAAATCAATTTTATTTTTTCCTGTCGTTACTTTTTAGAAAATCAAAAAACTAATTGCACATTCTCATAGCCACTTTATTAGAGCTATCTGATCGTATTTTTAGATTTTCAAATTAGCTGATAATTTGTGACATACAGAGACCAACTTAATATTTTTAAATACGAACCTGCATTTTTTATTTCAGTTTTTGAAAAAACTCTGTCTCCTGAGTACAAGGATATGCCACACTGTATACTTTTTTTTTGTTTTGGGTACCTTAACAACAACAAAACTATTTAATTATTATTTAAAATAATTTCAAGTCCGACTCTGGTTTTTTAAATTATTTAATCTGATTATATTCATAGCAACAATATTGATCAGCGCTATATTGAATAAGGAAACCGAGCCAATTGAAAGATTCAAATAAATAATATCCAGGTCAGCAATTTAAAGATATTATTTTTAACTTTTTTTATTGTGAATTTGAAATGTCAGTGTACAATATGCATAATATTAATGGTAGTTATTATAAATAAATCAACTTCTACAAACTAGTTTCTTATGCTCTACATGTTCGAAATGGTTACCAACCTTCCCATTGCACAAATTTATTATTCATACAATTTTATTTATAGCTCTGTGAACATATCTTCTTCTTATACTTCCGAATGCATTTTGTACTCTTTATTTACCCCCCCCCCTCCTCCTTTGCCACAGGTTCAGTAATCTCGCTGGCCCATTATACTACTCTACCATTTCTATTATTCTACCATATTATATTTATATTATGTTTTATTTACAAGGACAAAAAGTTATTACTCTTTATGACAGTTATAACACATGTAGGTGGCGCCCCCTACAAATAGGAATCATATTGACATCAAAATCAAATTTCTCATATTAAAAAACTATTAGACACCAATTTTCATCCAATTATTCACATTACTTCAGAAATGGTTTGGAAAAAATAAAAATAAAAATGAAACTTCTACACCCTGTATCTCCGAAACTAGGCATTTTAGTACATACATTTATACAAACTTTTTTACTTATTTTTTATCTACAAAATATGCCGCCCAAGTTTCGGGAATACAGTTCGGACCACCCTGTATATTAGTTATACTATTTTATGCTATAAATGATATAAATTTATTATAATTTATATTATGAGATGACTATTATAATTTATATTAGAGACACTATGAGAGAAAGCTATCGTTTTTCCAAATTCCTAAACTTTGCTTCCAATCTTTTTGAATATACATCTAATTTGTATGCTGCTTGCTCCAACTTTGTTACACTATCTTCTACCTGGTCAATCTGCTGCAACAATGGCAGTAGAGAATCACATTTATCATTGAGCTCCAATATACTTTTTCCAACATTTAAAGCTATATGTTTCATATCTGAATATTTTGTTATAGTGGCTTTATTCATGTTTTCAAGTAATTTGTAATCATCTAAAGTTGACGTCAGTTCGCCATAAAGGTAATCGGATGTCTTACTAAACAAGTTATTTGCTAGCCGGCTTAAGTTTGGATCGTGAGGATCCAATGCTTCAAAACTAGATGTTGATGTTGACAATGTAGGGCCTTTCTTTGGCGAGTCTGTAGGGCAATCTGAATCAATTTCTTCACTCATCTTTTTTCAGATCTTAATAGCTAAGTATTTTAATATGATTGATATCTAAAATATCGGACACTTATGTAATGGCTGAAAAGACAAAAGAAATAAAAATCCCTAAATCATCATACACGTAAGTGCATGATAATTTTTGTTTAAGCATAAAATAATAAACTCAATGTGCCAGTATGTATAAAAAAAATATGTTATACAGTATGTCCCCAGACTGTCTTTACAAGATGAAGGACTTTTTTATTATTGACATTTTGAGAAAAATGCACTCTTCATACAAAATTTTGAAAACATTTTTGTGTAAGTAGCAGTTACACATACCTTTAGGTACTTCTCAACTTTTCAACTCTGAAGTTTATCACTTAAGCCATTATATTCAGGATATGCCAATGTCTGAAACTTTGAGCGAACTGAGGATCCGTTCGCTACAACCAGAGACTACAAAGACTACAACCTGGTACAACTTCAAAAGATGCTGAAAACAAAGTTTTTATATAATGTGTTCAATGTGTGCAGGTTTTGATCATTTGCTAATTCTCTATATTACTTCTTTACCTCGACGCCGTTCGTGGCCTTGTATGTTTGGATGTTTATATTTTAACGATTTGTTTAAACATCTACATTTGTTGCTAAAAATTAGATGAAATGGGAATCACTACATGTAAATAAATTAAATTCCAATAATATACCCAGTATAAATATACATAGATACCGATATCTACCATATCATTATTCAACTTCCACAGTTATATTTTCCATAATTATCAGAGATATAAAAATTAAAACAAAATATTAATAATATTATTAATTTAATTAAAAGCTAGGTTAAATTATTAACCATAGATTAAATACAAATTCCATTTTTATTAGGGATGTGCAGATTTAAACGTAGTAGTTCAAATGAACTATTTAAAAGCAAGAAATGAGAGCTCCTAGGCTCTCGGCCGGTAGCTGATATTTGTGACGTCAGCCGTAGCCCTCGACGAATTGTTTTCTATGCAGGTGTGCCACGGAGGAATAAGAAAGCGAAGTCGCTACTACACGTATTTCTGTAGGATAAAAACAGTCTCACTTCGTAGTTTGGGCGGGACCAAAAGTGTACCCTTTGGACAGGACCTGATTAAGTAAAACTTCAAATAATAAAAACAAACAATGATGAAAATTTGCCTTGAGCTAATGTAAAATCATTGTGTAATATTAATCGTGTGTATCGCAATGAACAAATTACTTGGCATTACTACACCAAACTTAAAATAGGCATAAAATACTAATTAATGTTCATTCGTTAATTCGGTCATTACGGACCTGCACGCGGTTTATCTAACCTGTGAAATGTTACGCCGGTGAGTTTCTTCGAGTCGAAACCTTTCCTGCTCCTAAAACTGCGTACAGCACACAACTCCATTTGGCGAACCTCTTTTCGCAACAGCTGTAGCGCCTCCCCTCTCTTATTCCTCCGTTCTCGAAATATAGCAAACAACAGGGTTGCCACAAGCTACACATTTACTTCAGTGATTGCACGGCTACACCACAATCGCGTTAAATATTTCATATAAAAAAATGGTACCAGATCGGCGAATCAGGTGACAAAAGATGATTTTTTGCTTTTAAGTTACCTAACTAGTACCTAAGCGTACCGGAAATTTTGAACTGACAAATATCATTAGTACACTAAAAAAAAAGGATCTGTCAGTCAAGGTACAAAAAGTAGACCACCAAAATTTTTACCCAACAGATGTGGTGATACATCTTTTAGACCACCTATTCAAATTCATTTGTTGACTGTCGCAGGCGCTCAAATTTGAAACCACCGCCGCAACATCGTGTCCCCACACATAGCAAAGGAAAATACGTGATGTTAGGACTGGTATGAACCTGTTGCAGTAAATAATTGGTATTTGCTGGTTAGGTTTTGCCGGGACACACTTTTATCTAAAAATTTTGTGTGTAGAGTTGAATAATATATTATTTATTATAATTTTGGCCTGAAATAGTGTTGAATACTTTCTTGCAAGTAAGTACAAAATGTTGTTTTTCTAAAAAAATATATTCAACACTAGAAATTTGATTTTAATTATATCGTCCTATATTTGTACCACCGCTCTAGTAGTGATTTTTTTTGTGTATGTGTAAAAAATATGTATTTTTTTAGGAAATGTCAGACAATTATTTGCCGTTCCGTTTAGTGGGCATGAACCAAGACGTGTTGCAGAATGAGCTTGATAATCTTGATACTTACTCCTTGCCGTCTGGGGATTAGTCAGAATTGGACGACATATCTATTGGTGACAACACAAACGTGAACGATTTATATGTGAGTGATAGTTCTTCTGATGACAATGAACCATTATCGGTGCTTCGAGCAAGAATGCACAAAAATTCAGATATAATTCAGCAGCCACCCATCTGGGGCAAAACAGAAAGACCTGAATCAACTCTTCCTTTTGTCCAGCCAACCGGTACTCCTGAAGAAGTTGCCAATTCAAACGCAACTCCATATTCCCTTTTTCAACTATTTTTTGACGAGGTTTTTGTAAATCACTTGGTTTTTCATACGAACCTTTACGCTGAGCAGGAACAAATGCGTCCTGCAAAAACATACAAAGCAACTACGTTTGATGAAATAAATGCATTCTTAGGAATAAACTTACTCATGGGAATTAAGCGTTTGCCGAGTTATAAGAATTACTGGTTCAATGCACCTGACCTTCATGACAGCTATATTAGCTCCCTTATGTCACAAAAAAGATTTGGTTGGCTTTTGGGGCATCTACATATCAACGACAACTCTACTATGCCTAACCGTGATTCTGACCAATTTGATCGCCTTTACAAGGTACAGCCTTTGCTAGATCATTTAGAAAAGGCATTCAAAAACGCTCTTTTACCAAGTGAAGTTTTAGCCTTAGATGAATCAATGATCAAATTCTAGGGCAGAAGTGTAATAAAACAATATATGCCAAAAAAGCCCATAAAAAGGAGTTACAAGGTATGGATGCTTTGCGATAAATCTGGCTACTGTTTGAAGTTCGACTTATATACCAGAAAATCTAAAGATCAAAATTCACAAATGAGCTTGGGAACCAGGGTTGTTAGCAAGCTGACTGAGGGTTTTCTTCTGCTCCAGTTGAGGGTATATTTTATGGAAAATTTTTGCTCCAGTAAGAGATAAAAAGTATTTTTCCATAGATGTCATAGTTTTCGAAATATATTTTTCGAAATATAATGTCGATTTTGAGAATAGTTACTAACTGTCACAAGAAAATTGTCATGGCGATACCAGCCATCTTGATTGCCATTTTATTTAAAAATCGCTTTTTATTTAAAATCTCAGATAGATAGGTATAGAAAACCATAATATAGTTTGAAAGAGCATTTAAATGTGCTTCGATTTATTTAAAAAAAATACGGGGTGTTGCATTTGAAATAACAAAGTTTTTATGTAAAATAAATCCTTAAAATAGATAACTAATTTTGGGTACCCCCGTATAAATTTAAGGAAGCAATAACATTTTTCAGTAAAATTTATTTCGTTGCCTTTAAACTCAGCACAAGAATTAATTATGAAAAGTAATGTACAGGGTATTGATAACAATCAATTCTCTTGTAGCATGCATATTCAAATATCTTTAAATATCTCTTAAACCAATGATTTTAAACATATTTAACCCTTATAATAAATGCCTTTTTTGGGCCCAAGAATCCAAAAATGAAATAAAATACCGGGTGTTCCATAAGAAAAAATATAACTTTGGTATGGATCTTAGTTAGACACCCGTATATTTCAAAATAATTTTAAATTGTGCACATTGCCTCCCCACATATACCCATAAAATATTTTGTTTCTACATCTTTCCGTTTTCGTATCTTTCCTAACCGAGGCGAATGAGGTGCGCCACCCTGTATACATACATAATAAAAATTTATGTGTTCGGATTATCGTGTATTATTAATATTCAACGCTACATTCTTCTTTGGAAGATGATACCTAGGTGATATTCTTGAACTACAAAATAAACAAGATGAAGCATCAAATGATGATTGATTGGATCCCTATCCTCGGTCGCTGATCTAATTTTATTGTATACCTGAAAATAGTTTTTTTAAAGGTAACCTATAAACAATCCATAAAGCACCCCTCTACACAGTAGCTAATATGCTGGCGCACGCATTTGTCAGAGAATTGGTAATCTGTCCACACACGTTCAGTTTGTCTCGACGCAGGCCAACAGCAACAATGGATATCTGGATAGTAGGGCCTGTTACGATTTATTTATGCTGTGCTTATATGATTTTTCTATAAAAAAAATATTTTCCATAGGTGTTATAGTTTTCGAAATATACGCAAAAAAATGAAAAAATTGACATTTAACCACTCCCCCCTAAAAAGTAAAGGAACAATTTAAGACCAATTCCAAAACAGCAGGAACTTTTTTCTACCTAATTCTAATTTGCCAGGGGTATTAGACTAAGGCCAAAACTAATGCAATTAGTCCAGGGACCTGAGTAATCCAGCTAGGTAAATCTTCCAGAAAGAACCCAAGATCAATATAGTAGAGCCTTATCCTATAATTATATCCAACCCTACCCATGATCAACGAGTTCATGTTTCATACATACTTTCAAAGCTCCAAGTTGTTAAGTTTTTATTCAAATAAGCAATAGTTAAAATTTAAGCTAAACCGGTTACTATAACAGGTTACATGAGAGTAACAGGTTATATACATCGTTATATATCGATAATCTTGGGTTACAAAAGCAATATTTTTGGACAAGCTGAAAAGGCGCATTTTATTTCCGAAGTAAAAAAATATTTATCAGAAGAAAACCTAGCACTAAATGCACTTGCTCTTCTTGATAATGTAGTATCGCATTCTCTAGAAGATCTGCAGTCGATTGACAAAAAATTCACTTTTAATCAAATACGGAGAAAAATAAGGAGACTGAATGAATAAATAATGAGAGATTATCTTCATTCATTACTTGAACTTCTATGTTGAACTTCAATTTTGTATTCTTAATCTAAGCTTCAAGAGAGACTTCAAACTACAAATGAAATATATTTACGGTGAAAGGTGGGTGAAACTGGGCGAAACCATGGAAAACTTTTGAAGAACCGTTGAAAATCCGTTAAAGTCGGTTAAAATTTAAATATAGAATTTAGAGAATCTATTTGAAGTTAGGTTTGTATTACTTGGCTAGCTGGTGGCTAGTAGTAGTCTATGGCATTAGTACTTTGCTTTATACGGCCGAATGGCCCTGACAGATCAGGGCCATTCGGCCGTTGTTTTGATTATTATCATCAGGGTTCGCCTGATGCCTGATTTAATTTTGACATTTGATGTCATATATTTTCGTTTTGGGAGCGGGATCTCCCGTTATGGTCGTAATATCGGGAAGATCCGTGCCGTTCGCTTCTTCGAAATTTACGATTCAAACAGCGGTAATGGTGTGGATCCGGTGGCTGACCTTGAAACGAGTTTTTGCTGTATATAGTCACAGACACTACGCAGGCGCACATCTTCGATGTTGCCAGATTGCAAGTTATTTTGGAATTATTTTCAGTAGAAAACAAATATGTGCTTTTCAGTGTGTTTTGTCAATATATACAGTATGATCGAATAAACAGCGTCTAGTTGGCTAGGAAATGACGATTGAGGACATTTCCCATATAAAATGACAGCGATCTTCATTTCATAGTCATCGCTGACGCTATTTTTTTCAATCATAGTACGCGGTATATTATTTCTATTATTATTTTAATATTTCGCACAACATATGAAACGTGAATGCTTATTATGTATTTTCATAGTCAATAAAATTAAATAGAAATAAAATTCTAGATTCCTATAATTAATCTAATTGCTCTAGATTATAATGCTACGTTTAAAAAGTGCTTTATTAAAAATTCGGGAAATTAAAATGGAAGTGTCCAAGTTTTTTCTTTTTTTTTTAATTTTTAAATGCTGTAGCTCCATGTCATGGTCATAATAGTTTTTTTAACATTCCATCAAAACTACGGAGGCCTTAAAAGGCATTTTAGCCTCCGTAATTAAAATTGTACAATCAGCTTCAGCAACATTTACAGTTACCTTGTTTAATTCTGCTTATACATATATTGCATTATTTTTTCTGCTACCTTAAGATTTCTCTATTCTTACACCTAATTTATGTGATTTTCTTAGCATAATATGATTTATAGACCATATTTTTCCTAATGGAAGGATGGAATAGGATATGCAAAATTAAGATATTTTAACATTTATTTTCCAGACAAAGCATAATATAGTATTAAGATTAAGACATAACAAATATTATAAGAAAGATCTTAATATAAATCACAAACTAATTACAAACTAATCTTAATTTGGTCTTGTATAAACACAGGTATAAAACTAATAAGATCAAAACTCAACCTTCACCATATTGTCAAGATTTGGCATTATAGCAAACAAGAAATTACAGTAAATTAAGAAAAGAATGTCAAAGTACACGATATTAAATGCTGTAATGTATTCTTACACACAAACCATCTCCCTTCTAAAGAGAAAAAGATAAAACATAAAGCTTATTTTAATCTTATCAACACACTCTTCGATAAAATATATGTCTAAAATTGCTATTAATCCACTAACTTGATATTTTTAAGAAATTATGATACAAACATTATAATCAAAGTATATTATATTAGTAACATTATAGGTAAGATGTTACCTCTATCTCCCATTGACGTGTATTGTTCTATAAGACTCGTCATGGTAGTACCGTATGATCGAAAAAAAACGGCGTCCAGTTGGCTTGGAAATGACGATCCATGCCATTCCCTGTATAATTTTACATATAAAATGACAGCGATCTTCATTTCATAGCCATCGTTGACGCCGTTTTTATTCGATCATACGGTATTTCAAAACATCAATACATATAATCAAAACTATTGTTGCCTGTAAATAACTAGAAATTAAATAACTTGAAAGAAATAAAATAATTCTAATAAGTTTAAAACGATTAAGAAAAAATCCGTACATGATAATTTTTAATTCTAATGTAAATATATAAATAAATGTTATTATTATTACAATTTTATATATTCATAATACTTTCATTTCACAATCTTTATTATCCTTCTTACCTTAATTATGGATATCAAGATAAATCTGAAATTATAAAATTAATTATAGAATTTGTATTATAATTGATTAACACTCAAAAAAAAAAATTTTCAACTGCAAATAATTCGAAAATAAACTGCAATTTGGCAACATCAACCATGTGCGCTTGCGTAGTATCGATGATCAAATGCAGCAAATATGGGCTTCAAGGTCAGCCACCGGATCCACACCTTTACCCAAACAGCTAATATTTAATTGTTAGTTGTTTTAAACAAGTACGATTTTTTAAAAAATAACCGGCTATAGGTTATTGAACGTAACGCAAGGTTATTAGGTTAATTGGTGAAAAAAAAACTACCTTTAAATAACCGGTTATTTTAGAGGAAAATACCGGTTATTCAAAAAACCGGTTACTTTTGCCCATCTCTAATAGCTTTCCTGCTCCTACAACTGCGTACAGCACACGACACTATGGTTTTAAATGTTTTTGTAATAGAAAACACTCAAATTATCGATGAAAAACATTAAATTTCGAGAAAAATGCACAAATTACAAAAAGTACCACAATCTAAGATGGCGGGCGGCTAGGTGAACCCTGGGTGAACCTCTTTTTGCAACATCTGTAGCATCTCCCCTCTCTTATTCCTCCGTGGGGTGTGCGGTTGTGTAAAGAAGTGTCTAGTCCTAGCCGTCAACCACAGAATAGATATCAACCAGAAACCTAACTGGAGCTGAAATCCGTGACGTTTTACGAATTGGGCCGCCATTTAATAGCGGTAGAACACAGAGACGTATTTAATAAATTTCCGTTGAATGTATACAGAGTTGTATTTATTTTTTTGTTGTAAATTGAAAAGTATAGAATTAATTAATATCATTCGGCAGTTAATAAAACTACTGCTTAAAACTTTAATAGGTGAGTTTGTTAAAGTTAAAAGTAAAGGCTAATTTGTTTAAGATGCTGTAATATTGGTTTAGTACAAATGTCCCAACATATTTTATGGAGTAATATTTTTAATGTAAAACTTATTGCCAGCGATAAAAAACACTGCATTAGTAAACCATTAGAGATATCGCGGTATAAAAATAGTTTATATTTTTAAACGATTTTATTTAACTTTACCATACCTTTGTTTGTTGCAAATCTGGCAGCAGCTTTATTGATCACTTCTATTATCCCAATTTTTCCGAAATGTTGCACACGTATTGAGTTCCGGTGACACTTTTATAATATTTTTGAAGAAAAAAAATCAAATTAGCGGATCCAATATGGCGGATTTTTTAATATAAGAAGAGATTTGGTTGAAATTTAAAACTTTGGGTTCTTTATAAGGACGCTTGAGATACTTACCTTCAATTGGCCCGTTTTAAAACATCCTGTAAAGATAGGGTAGGTGTTCATTTAAGTTTCAAACGAAATAAATAAACAAGCTAACATCAGAATACTTAGGTATTTATTCATGCCTCCATATAATTAGTTTGTTTTTATTGGCTGTTTTAAAATTAAGGTTTATCTTTTTTAATGTATAATACAATTTCATAAGCAGATATAATTTAGTTACATATTTTAGGGGAAAATAGTAGATGGATGTTTGAAATTAATTTGTTTGCATATTATATATATATTTCTTTAATAAAATGTCTTGTCCCATATTCTTCGTAATATTTACTAAAAACAAGTTCTAATGAAGAAACAAAAGATACAAAATTGTCATGTGACATCTGAAGATTACCAAAAATATCTAAATTATTATCTTCACTCTTTATTATTTTCATAGGCACGTAAATGGCAAAACAACGATGTATAATCTAACTCACTGTGTGCCTTTGCATATTTGGTACATATATCACATGAATGTATACTCAAACATTTTTTTATTAAATATTCACAAACGTATCGTAAAACATTTTGCGTCCTGGCGAAACATAACTCCGGCTTTTGCACATTCTTGAGGCACAAACTGAACCAGTAGTCTTTGAAGTTATTATAAATAATGTACCTAGCACAACAAATATTTAATAACTATTCCAGACTATTCGCTCCGTTCAGTTATAAAACAACACAAACTACAATATTCAATATTTACGAATGACGAACAGCTACTGCTCTCAGCAAAACGCAAAACATAAGTGAACTGCGAACGCCAGTGCGTTGACAGGTTCTACCGCTATTTTTAGGTTAGGCGATGTTTCCCGCGCAAACTCTAAGTTAGGCTTCTGGTTGATATCTATTCTTGTGCCGTCAACTATTAAGCTTGACCAATCAGGTTGGTTAGCGTGGTTATTTGGAGTGTGTTAATTCATTTGTGTTTGTCAAAAACTCTAACGGGATTGGTCGGGCTTAACAGTTGCCTGCTAGGGCTAGACACAAGTGTTGTGTAATAATTTGGTGTGGGTCGATTTCGACATAATTGTGGACGGGCTACAGGATCACGTCTTTGACTTCTCGAACCGCTGCCCCTAAATGGACGAAATGATCAGGATTTTTCTTAATTATAAGTCGATTGGAACCAAACTCGGCACGTGGATAGACGGACAGAGGAACATACGGATAGATAGACAGACAAAAGTAAGCAGCTTCACTTCAAATATGAGCACATCGTAGCAAAGTAAAAAAAAAACAGCTGTTCTTTTCAAAATTAGAAAAAAAAACATTTAAAAAAAACTTTGCATTGTATAAGAAAAAACTATTGGGTAAAGCTGACATTTCAAGCAGCAAATCCAGGGGACAAAGGACTGGCTAGAAGAGAGGAATATTGTGTTGGTGAAAACAATGGACGATCAAAAAACAGCCGCGCCGCGGCTTTATTCATTGTACAGTGTACGATGAATACCTATATTACTGTGTAAAACTAAAAAAAACAGCACCTATGTTCATTGAAAATCCAACAGTAACATAAAAAGGCTGACCGAACAACTAAAATATTTTAAAAACAAATGCAATAGATCTAGTCCCAAAATAGCTGCATTTCAGAAAATGAAAATGATCAATTCTTACTCAAAACCAGATTGATTTATTGTCTAAAAAAAGAAAAAAGTCCAATGAACAGGAGAACAAATTGCAACGGCCTTCACACTGAGGTACTGTGATAGCAAGACTTGTTATTTATTTTTTAAAAATAAGTTGCATTATCCATTAGCTGCTCCTTCATCATTAAGAAGACGCAAACAATTTGAATTTTAATAATTTTACTGATACTAATTAATTACGAAATTACCAAAAATAGGGATTAAGTTCCTCACTCAAATTTTTAACGCATGTCTGGAGAAACTTTGTACCCCCGCGGTGGAAAGTTGCCGAAATTATTTTGATCCAGGAACCAAGAAGAGGCCCATCTAGTATAAAATCTCACTGCCCCATCAGTCTTCTTCCTAAAAAGCATGACTTCAGAAATTACAGCTTGTAAACTTATACCTGACCATCAATTTGTTTTTCGACAGGCCCATGGTAATATCAAGCAGATACAAGTTGGCCGAAAAGATCAACGCAGCACTTGAAAACAAATCCTTTTATTCAATAATATCCTTCGATATATTCAACAATGCCTTTTTGGATATCTCACACACCTTTGATCGCGTATGGGATCATGGACTATTTTACAAAATCCGCAAAAACTTACCTATAAACTATTATCTCTTCAGAAAGCCAAAGACACTTCTACGATAAGTACGGCGACAGTGTCTCCATAAAATTCAAACTGTAGTCTCGTAAGGCAGCGTGTTGGGCTCAATACTTTATTTAATATATACTTCCGACCTACCAACTACTAAACACACAAGACGCACACGGGAACATTTGCTGATGACAGCGCGGTATTTGCAGTTGATAAAACCGCCTTTGGTACATCAGCAAAGTTGCAAAAAACTTATAACGGAAATATCGAAGTGGCTAAGAGATAGGAGGATAAGAGCCAATGAAACCAAGTCCGTCCATGTCACTTTCATCCTGAGACGGGAAACCTGCCCAGAATAATGCCCTAGAATTAAACCAAATAAAAATACTAGTCTAACGATAGGTAGACATCTGGACAGACGACTGACTTGGCAAACACATACATGTGAGAGAGAGAAACTCTTGAAACAAGAGAAAAGCACTCGATCAGCAGTTAAGGAAACTTTACTGATTTATGGTACGCAAATCACAACTATCTTTAGAAAATAAACTCCTACTGTATAAGTGCATACTAAGAAATACATCTTGAACTACGGCTTGCAGTTGTGGGGCACAGCATCCAGATCAAACAGAGATTTTACGATTTCAATCCCAAACTCTTCATATGATACCTGAAGCCCCATTTTATATGACAAATAAACAACTTCACAATGACCTAAACATCAAGAATTTTAAGGACGAAGAATTCATTGCTTACGCATTGTAAGAGAATTAAATCCCATCCTAACTTAACGGCAAGACAACTGATGAAAACCATACCAAACCATACATTTAAAAGGTTAAAAAGACGAGCCCCCCCAGTAAAAAAAAGATAAGGGACATATCAATGGTCACTGTGCCATACACGCCAACAACAAAAATTACATGAAATCTACTTAAATGTCGATAAGTCAGCTCGCAGAATAGAAGGCGATAAAAAAATAATTTTACTCTAAATAGCTATTAAGGGCATAAAGAACATAAAAGCTATTAGTAGAGCATGTAGAACCTACATACATATATTTGTTCATTATGAGTCTTTGCCTCTGGTCTTTGCGCTGTTTTGGATAAATAAAAATGGCGATGGTGGGGGACGGGGGACCATCAAATTATGTGAAAATTGTATTTTGTGTATTTGTTAGTGGGTAAAAGGAATATGGTTACCATACTTATTCTATGGTTACCATGTACTAGACGCAGTATTGTTAAATTTAATTAAAATGTAATTTAATTTAGACATCAATACCATACCGAAAAAAAACGAAAATAAACAAAAACGAACCAACAAACCTAACCAAACCAAAGCAATCAAAACACGCTGTAAGATAAAACGCGCCTGTTTACGAATTCCAATTGCCAAGTGCTTTTCAAATCTTGCTATATTTAACAATATTTTATCAATAAATGAAAATGGTAGACTTCCGCAAAAAGTTTTTTGCATGTCTATGTTTAGAAAAAATTCTAGAACGAAAAACAAGAACGTGTTTTTGTGTAACTAGTTTCAGCTATTTTTAAAGTTGAAAAACTAAAAATTATGCATTTCTACAGAAAATTTGTTGTGCCTTTCTATTGGGAAAGAAGTTCAAACCAAACCAAACCAAATAAACAAATATTTCTAAAATAACAGATTTCAACTAAACAAAATTAGTCCTGACTTCAGCTATTTTAAAGTTGAAAAACTCAAAAAGGATGCATTTCTGCAGAAATATTTTTGTGACATCCTATTCGAAAAGACTTTCAAATACTAAATAAATACATATATTTCTTAAATAATTGATTTCAGCTAAACCAAAGTTGAGCCGTAAAATTAATTGTTAAAATTTTGATGAATGAAAATCTATGTAGAAATAAAGTGTGTAATATCTAAATAAAATTTCTACAAATTTTAACAACTACAATTTGTTTCACTAAGAAATTGAACAAGAAGTAATAGGTTGCTGCTTACATATACGTTTAGGTACTTCTCCATTTTTCGACTCTGAAATTATATCACATAAGTCATCATATTCAGGATATGCTAATGTCTGCAACTTTGAGTGAACTAAGGATCCGTTCACTACAACTTCAAAAGATGCTGAAAACAAAGATTTTATATAATCTGTACACACTTTGATCATTTGCTAATTCTCTATATTACTTGTTTACCTCGACGCCCTTCACGGCCTTGTATGTTAATATTTGGATGTTTATCTTTTATATATTTTAACAATTCTTCATACTTGTTTAAATATCCACATTTGTTGCTAAAAAATCAGGAAAGAAACAGGAATCACTGCATGTGAAAATTAATATAAATTCCAATAATTTAGGTAATAACATACATAGATATCGGTTTCAACCATACCAGTATTCGACTTCCACAGTTACATTTTCCATAATAACAGAGATATAATAATAAAACTAGATAATATCTCGGAAAATATAATTTATGTAAAAGTGGGGTTAGTTATTAACCATAGATGAAATACAAATTCCAATTAGTACTGTTAGTACTGTGTAGGATGAATATTAATAGTACAAAAGAACTATTCAAAGGTATTTTTGTAGAAGGCATGGCACTGTAAGAATCGATCCTTGTCTCGATTATGGAAATATTAATTTTTATTTTTGAATAACAAAAAATCGAGCTCTGTCACGTTGGAACCCGCTTTATAGTAAACTTTTCGATTTTTGGCTTATTATCAACTACAAACGATGCAATTGATTGTAGTAAATTTAATTTTTTTGTAGTACTAATAATTAGCCAGAAAAAGTAAACAATTGTGCGCAATGTAATAAAGAATAAAAATAATGGGTAAAGGTGTGGATCCGGTGGCTGACCTTGAAGCCCATATTTGCTGCATTTGATCATCGATACTACGCAAGCGCACATCGTCGATATTGCCAAATTGCACTTTATTTTCGAATTATTTGCAGTTGAAAATTTTCTTTTGAGTGTTAATCAATAATAATACAAATTCTCTAATTAATTTTATAATTTCAGATTTATCTTGATATCCAAAACTTAAGGAATAATATATAAAATTGAATATATAAAATTGTAATATTAATAACATTTATTTATATATTTACATTAGAATTAAAATTATCATTTACGAATTTTTTCTTAATGGTTTTAAACTTATTAGAATTATTTTATTTCTTTCAAGTTATTTAATTTCTAGTTATTTACAGGCAACAATAGTTCTGATTATATGTATTGATGTATTGAAGTACTCCCATGACGAGTCTTATAGAACAATACACGACAATGGGGAGATAGAGGTAACATTTTACCTATAATGTTACTAATATAATATACTTTGATTATAATGTTTGTATCATAATTTCTTAAAAAATATCAAGTTAGTGGATTAATAGCAATTTTAGACATATATTTTATCGAAGAGTGTGGTGATAAGACTAAAATAAGCTTGATGTTTTATCTTTTTCTCTTTATAAGGGAGATGGTTTGTGTCGTAGAAATACAGTATTTAATATCGTGTAGTTTGATATTCTTTTTCTTAATTTACTGTAATTTTTGTTTCCTATAATGCCAAATGTCGTCAATATGGTGAAGGTTGAGTTTTTATCTTATTAGTTTTATACCTGTGTTTATACAAGACCAAATTAAGACTTAGTTTGTGATTTATTAAGATCTTTCTTATAATATTTGTTATGTCTTAATCTTAATACTATATTATGCTTTGTCTGGAAAATAAATGTTAAATATCTTAATTTTGCATATCCTATTCCATCCTTCCATTAGGAAAAATATGGTTTATAAATCATATTTTGCTAAGAAAATCACATAAATTAGGTGTAAGAATAGAGAAATCTTAAGGTAGCAGAAAAATTAATGCAATATATGTATAAGCAGGATTAAACAAGGTAACTGTTAATGTTGCTGAAGCTGATTCTACACAATTTTAATTACGGATGCTAAAAGGCCTTTTAAGGCCTCCGTAGTTTTGATGGAATGTTAAAAAAACTATTATGAACATGACATGAAGCTACAGCATTTAAAAATTAAAAAAAAAGAAAAAACTTGGACACATCCCTTTTAATTTCCCGAATTTTTAATAAAGCCCTTTTTAAACGTAGCATAATAATATAGAGCAATTAGATTAATTATAGGAATATAGAGTTTTATTTCTATTTAATTTTATTGACTATGAAAATACATAATAAGCGTTCACGTGTTGTGCGAAATATTAAAATAATAATATAAATAATGCCGCGTACTATGATTGAAAAAAAATAGCGGCAGCGATGACTATGAAATGAAGATCGTTCTGTTATTTTATATGGGAAATGTCCTCAATCGTTATTTCCCAGCCAACTGGACGCCGTTTTTTTGATCATACGGTATATATTGACAAAAAAACACTGAAAAGCATATATTTGTTTTCTACTGAAAATAATTCCAAAATAACTTGCAATCTGGCAACATCGAAGATGTGCGCATGCGTAGTGCCTGTGACTATATGCAGCAAAAACTCGATTCAAGGTCAGCCACCGGATCCACACCATTACCAAATAATGTTTTAACAAATGTCTAAAAATCTTCAAAATCGTTTGTAGTTTTATGTAGTAGCAAAAAAACTCAACGAAAGTTTCTTGAAATTAGAGAATTATAGTAAAATTTGGAAATTAACATAGTTTGACATAATGTTTTTAGTTGTATACAAACTACAAACGATTTTGAAGATTTTTTGACATTTGTTAAAACAATATTGTTGCGATTTACAAATATTTGAAAACAAAAAAGGCATTTCTATTTTTATTTTTACTAATATATTTTATTTGCACGCCCGGTAAAGGTCGGCAGAATGCATTGTCGGCAATTCGGCATTTTCACAAACAGCGGGAGTTCGAAGAAAGCCGTGTGATGATACCGCATAGCGACGAGCCGTCGGCGTCGTGCAGTATCAGTGTTGCCAGATGTAACATAATTATCGAATTGTAACATAATTTTGGAACAAAATTTTCCCAAAAAAAATCTGTACCATAATCGATAATTGTAACATAATTTGGTAACTTGCCATAATTAACGTTTTATCAATCATGAACTATATTTTTATGATAAATAAATTAACTTTAAGGTAGTTAATGCAAAATGACTCAAATGGTTTTAAAGTTTAAAAGAATGGCAGGGTCTAGAGCACTAAATATTCGCGACGAATCAAGTAATTCCGATTTAAAAATACGGGCAGAAGAGAAACCAGACCCCGATATCATAAAACTGACTGAGAAAATACGTTTGAAACCTATTAAAAATAAGTTAAACCAACAAAAAATAGGATCCAAATTTATTGCTATCATTATATTTTTTAGATAATTCCCTCAGAACGAAATATATGGCTTGTAACATAATTTTGTAATAAATTCGATAATTTCATCTACATTGATCCATAATTTCATTTCCGACACCTGTGCAGTATTATTTCATTTTTATAAATCAGTAGCCCTTTATTCTTGCTATAAGCAGCATTATTTCATAGCGCCAATTCGCATTTTTATTTTAACAAATTTTCAAGTTCTGTTCCAAAATTTATTGGAATTACTCCTCCCACATTAACATTTTTAATCAATTTTAATATTTGTTATTGTGAAGAGTTATTTATAATTTAATAAATAAAGTAGTGATTTCAATTTGTGGGTTTATTCTCGAAAGAGTGGTCCTTCGACGTTGGTTTTTCTTTGGGAATCGAAGCAGTCCATTGTTAGTCCATCGGATAAATTATTACCACGAGCTAACAAATATTTTTATTCGTTATTACACTGCGCAAAATTGTTTACTTTTTCTGGCTGATTATTAGTGCTACAAAAAAATTGAATTTACTACAATCAATTGCATCGTTTGTAGTTTGTATACAACTAAAGACATTATGTCAAACTATGTTAATTTCCAAATTTTACTATAATTCTCTAATTTCAAGAAACTTTCGTTGAGTTTTATTGCTACTACATAAAACTACAAATGATTTTGAAGATTTTTAGACATTTGTTAAAACAATATTTTTATTCTTTATTACATTGCGCACAATTGTTTACTTTTTCTGGCTAATTATTAGTACTACAAAAAAATGAATTTACTACAATCAATTGCATCGTTTGTAGTTTGTATACAACTAAAAACATTATGTCAAACTATGTTAATTTCCAAATTTTACTATAATTCTCTAATTTCAAGAAACTTTCGTTGAGTTTTTTTGCTACTACATAAAACTACAAACGATTTTGAAGATTTTTAGACATTTGTTAAAACAATATTTTTATTCTTTATTACATTGCGCACAATTGTTTACTTTTTGTGGCTAATTATTAATACTAAAAAAAATTGAATTTGCTACAATCAATTGCATCGTTTGTAGTTTTTATACAACTAAAAACATTATGTCAAACTATGTTAATTTCCAAATTTTACTATAATTCTCTAATTTCAAGAAACTCTCGTTGAGTTTTTTTGCTACTACATAAAACTACAAACGATTTTGAAGATTTTTAGACATTTGTTAAAACAATATTTTTATTCTTTATTACATTGCGCACAATTGTTTACTTTTTCTGGCTAATTATTAGTACTACAAAAAAATTGAACTTACTACAATCAATTGCATCGTTTGTAGTTTGTATACAACTAAAAACATTATGTCAAACTATGTTAATTTCCAAATTTTACTATAATTCTCTAATTTCAAGAAACTTTCGTTGAGTTTTTTTGCTACTATATAAAACTACAAACGATTTTGAAGATTTTTAGATATTTGTTAAAACAATATTTTTATTCTTTATTACATTGCGCACAAGTGTTTACTTTTTCTGGCTAATTATTAGTACTACAAAAAAATTGAATTTACTACAATCAATTGCATCGCTTGTAGTTTGTATACAACTAAAAACATTATGTCAAACTATGTTAATTTCCAAATTTTACTATAATTCTCTAATTTCAAGCAACTTTCGTTGAGTTTTTTTGCTACTACATAAAACTACAAACGATTTTGAAGATTTTTAGACATTTGTTAAAACAATATTTTTATTCTTTATTACATTGCGCACAATTGTTTACTTTTTCTGGCTAATTATTAGTACTTCAAAAAAATTGAATTTACTACAATCAATTGCATCGTTTGTAGTTTGTATGCAACTAAAAACATTATGTCAAACTATGTTAATTTCCAAATTTTACTATAATTCTCTAATTTCAAGAAACTTTCGGTGAGTTTTTTTGCTACTACATAAAACTACAAACGATTTTGAAGATTTTTAGACATTTGTTAAAACAATATTTTTATTCTTTATTACATTGCGCACAATTGTTTACTTTTTCTGGCTAATTATTAGTACTACAAAAAAATTGAATTTGCTACAATCAATTGCATCGTTTGTAGTTTGTATACAACTAAAAACATTATGTCAAACTATGTTAATTTCCAAATTTTACTATAATTCTCTAATTTCAAGAAACTTTCGTTGAGTTTTTTTGC